TACACATTTATGCGTAATACCCTCAAGAAGTTATAAACTTTTGAAGAAAAAAGTTTAATTTCATGAAGTTTCCAAACACATGTTCCATGAGACTACGAGTTCAGCGAAGCACTTTTTGATGGAAACAGTCCCAAGAGTATATTGTCTGGAGGACTAGCCCAGGAAGTGAGACCTGGGAACCACTGCCAACCCTCCTACCAGTGGCTGCTTCTCCTGGATGATTGGTAAAATCATCTGTTTCTGTATAGTATACACTGTGGGTCATTCCATGGTCTTTAGATATCTTCTAACTCTAAAAGTCTGTAATTTGAAAAATAAAATGCGTTTTCATAGTATGAAACTCATGTTACATACTTTATAGAAAGAAGAGCTCCTGGGTCTAAGGCTTAAACGTCAGAGCTTCATAGATTCAGGACTACTAGGTTTGAAATAGATCTTAAAGATCATCCTGTCCAACTGCCCTTCCAATTCTTGGAGCCCTTTCTGTAACAGTTCTTCCTACTATTTACCTAGCTTCTGCTTGATAATCTCCAGTGACTAATAACTCATTATTTCACAAGCCAGTTTGTTTATATATAACTCTGACTCCCCAGNCCCATCTGAATGCAGAGTTCCAAAGAATAGCAAGGAGAGATAAGAAAGCCTTCCTCAGTGATCAATGCAAAGAAATAGAGGAAAACATTCCAATTACTGATGCGTATTCGTGGATCTTGAGATTTAGAACCTCTGTTCCTGATAGTCTTGAGTTCAGACAATGTAGCAGGCAAAGCTCTTTTGGGCCAGAAACATACTGAAGCGTTTGTTTGTTTGCTTTTTAAATGAAAGGCTGTCTATGTTTATACACTATGCACCTTGCTAAATTCAGTGTTCTTCGAGGTCAGTGCCATGCTTTCACCAATTTCCTAAAGGCCACAGTCAGTACTCTGCACTTCACGTTGGCTCATCATATGCTATTCATTCAAAAGAGGAGTAAATAAATGACTCTGGATGATCAACATTCTACCTGCCCCCACCCATAAAAATATCAGTTCTCTTGGGCTTCCATGTCCTTTTGTCAATGCCTCTTTTCTGGTTGAAGTTTTGCTTTACAAGTAAGAAGATAGAGGCAAAAGTGTTTTGGAATAGTTGCACTTATTTGCATATTTTGTTCAAATACATTAAATCTTTGTTTTATTCATTTTCTTTAAACTTAAATAACTAAACAAAAATAATAAAAATAATAATTTTATAATTCCCCTTTTGACCTGGGCAGTTTTTTCAATTATCACTTTATTTTGGTTAGTGCCTTTTTGGACACTGTTCTTACTTATATATGACATTCAACTATATCTGTCATTCACAAAGATACAACTTATGCAAAAAATCTTTTAGAATCTGTTTTTAGGAAGAGGTCACCTATTTTAGATATACTGCTTAAGTTTACATCATCATAAATATAATTGTGAATTTGTTACATTCCTCAAATTTCTTTGATAATATCCAGCTTTGATGTCCTAACTAGTCTTCCATGTTGGTTAAGATTGAACTTGTTTCTAGAATTTTATGTGTGGAAGTCAGGACATGGAAGGTTGTAATGTGACTGACAGATGAGGAAGGAAAAACTCACTTAAGCTTGGATGATACGGGTAGGGAAAAATAAGTCAATATTTAGGGAAGATGGCAGGATCAAGTAATGACTTTTAAAATGAAGGTTAGATATGAGCATGTTTAAACATTTATGGAAACAACAGAGATGCATTGCATCTGGATGCATTGAAATCAGGGGGCAAAACTGTGGTCACTAGGCTGTTAAGTCTTTCATAACCTGCTATATAGCCCAGGAAACTCTACTCAGTACTCTGTATTGATCTATATGGGAGAAGAATCTAAAACTGAATGGATATATGTATACATTTAACTGGTTCTCTTTGTTGTAGAGCAGAAACTAACACAACATTATAAATCAACTATGCCGCTAATAAAAGCTAATCTAAGAAATATATGTTATCACATTCTGAATCTACTCTATACTCTAGGAAGTAAGCAGAGATATTTATTAGCCTGCTTTTACCATGTCTCTCAATGAGATTATTAAACCTTTCCTTTTTTTGGTCATCTTTTCATTTAGGGGTTTGTAATATAGAAAGAAATTGAGAGAAAATCAAAGAAAAAAGAGAGACAGAAACTAAAACCAGATCCCCAAGTCTGCTAAAACAATATTCCCTCTGTCAGGACACTCTCCCCAAATTCATCTGTGACCTTCAAGGAGACAAGGCTCATAAACATGTTTTATCGTTTTAAATCCTTTATCTGTAAAGTATTTTTAGCTTTATTCAAATGCTTTCCAGTGTGTTCCTTCCTTTGACTTTTGGAGTTTCCACATTTATACTGCCTCTGATAGTAACATATTCGTGAAAAACAGATCTATGTATATTGAACTGGAGGCTCCATGGTTAGCAGTTATCAACGTGGTCACATTGACTGATTCATCACATCTGACGTTCACTTTATTACCTTAGCTTTTCAGACTGTATATAACAATCTACAGGGTGAATCACACCCCCTTTACAAATATTCTATTCTGTGAATTACTAAGAATTTCTCCTTTGTTGCTTGTCAAACCTGACAGAATTGAGTGAACATTTTCATGGTTTTATTTAGAAAGTTTTCTTCCTCTGTACCACATTTCATTTAAATGCATCTTTATGTTTCTTTGCCTTTATGAGCTAAACTCTTCAAGAGTTCTAAGTCCTGGGACATGGTCCAAAACTTCAAATTTGGTTCTTTGACACCATCATCCCTCTACCATATTACTTTCCATAGCATCATCTTCTATCTCCTATTTCTATTTTCACTGATAAAAGAAAGAATATTGGCACAGTGCTCCCATGTCTGAATTTTCTAGATCAAGTTATTAAAATCATGATAATTAGAGATGCTTCCCTAATTCCTTCTAATTTGTCAATCAGTAGCACCAAGTGGCAAGGCCTGGATTTGGTTAAGCTTTCACGGTCTTCCCCTCACCACGGCGATGCCCATTTTTCAGGACAAAAGTAAACATGAGTCTATATTCCTCCACCAAAGCACAAGTGGCAGCAGGGACCATTTCTTCAGGAAAACAAAACAAAACAAAACATGATTTACTGAAACTTACTAGTGCCTGTATTTTCTTCTTATTTTCTCGTGTTATATCCAGCAAAGACCTTTATTTTTTGGTTTCTACAGGAACTCTGTTTCACCCCCAGGGCTGCTTTTCTCTAGCTCCTGAAGTGTAGATTTTTGCCTTTTGTCTCCCTCATCAGCATTGTAGTTCTCACTCTGCTACCGTCACTGGCTTTGTTTATACTCTATTGTTCTCATAGCGAAAGAAAACTGCTCAGAACTCAGAAATCTCAGGTCTACAGTGTGATCTTGAAAAACAATTGCTATTTTCTGATTTGGAAGGAGTTGATAAGAACATAATTATAATAGATTCTCTTCCCATCTCATCTGTTCTAACATAGAGACATACAGTCACTGAAAATGAGTAAAAAGGCTACGTTTCTAGAAGCTTTTATATTTTTGTAGGCCTTAAATTATATCCTAGATATTTTGATTTTGACTATAAATAGTTGTCAAGGGAAACAGATTTTAAAATAACGTCTTGGTTCTTTTTTTTATATCCCCCCAAATAACCACCTTCTTTTAGCCTAAAAGGGTCCTTTCCTGAGAAAGAGAAACCCAAGGAACATTCTGGTCTTTGGTTGAGTGACAGTCACAGAGCTGACTGCCCGTGTGTTATGGAGAAGGCTGTCCTACGGCTTCCCATGTTTTTTATGGGTTTCACGCAGAGAAAGCACAAGGACTGGAACTTGGGAAAGGTATTTTTGAATAATACTACAGTTGTAAATCTGCAAATATGAACATTATTCTCAGAAATTCTTGTAGTGCCAGGGCAGTAAACTAATTCTGGGGGATGGGACATTCTTTGTGAATAATCATTCCTTTATTTGAGAACTCAAAATGAGTCCTAAGAAAGGGAATGCTGCATTCTGTTCATCACTTACCATCAGAAGCTAAATTTTTTTCTAAATCTTTTTCTCTGTAATTTAACTCTAGTTCTGAATTCAACAGAATGAGAAGAGCAGGGGAAAGTAAAGGCAAGAACAAATAAGCAAGATGATGAAAAGGATTTGAGGAGAAAAATTCAATATGTAAAATGACATCAAAGGAAAAAAAAGCCAAGAGTATATATCATCATTTAGAAAATACAATTCACATATTCTTTTTGTTTCAGACTATATCTATTTATTTACCTACCTATCTATTTATCCATCTATCTATTTATCAACCTATTTATATATTTATGTATTTACCTAGGGTCATTTCAGATGTATTGATCTATATTCAATTAGTCACTGACAATAATTCTAATGCAACTCCTACTGCCCCTTCCTCTGTCTCCCCATCTATATGCTACAGAGTTTGTTAATACTAAGTTGTGACACTTGAAAACAAAGAAACCTTACCCTTTACATCTAGGCCCTTTAAATGCTTTATTTTGACCTAAAAAGAGCTATTTTGGATTTTTTTGTAGGTTTCTTAATTTTTTCAACAGAAAAACTTTTAAAATTCACACAGCTAGTTGTTATATACATCTATGCAGTGTGCTCAGTGGTTTCAAGCTGGTTTTGAAACATGGCCTTGGATGAATATTTCAGTTTAGCAAATTATTAATACATTGCTTACTCATCAGTAAACAAGGATGACACTAGTGACCCCTGTCTGGAGAGTCCTTGTGTCTGTCACAGTGTTAAAATTACCTATATTCTCGGTATTATTATTAACAGAGAAATCACAAGGATTGGAAGTTTCATAATATTCTTCCATTGAAACTTTTACCAAGCATTATTCAGCTAAATTGGTTACAAAGATGATTAAAATAGAAAGTTTATCAGGTAGGGGAAATGAGATAAAAGATAGATGGGTATTAAGAAGTAAGGAAAATGAGTGGCAGTGGAAAGTCAAACATGCATACTTACGGAGTTGCCCAAGACGAGCTTTTTCTTTTTTACCAAACAAACGTCCTATTGAAGACTTGATTCCTTTCTTCTTGGGGGCTTTGTGAAGAGAGTCTTGGCTGCTGTTGGCACTGCCAAGCCCAAGGCTTTCAGGCTCGAGGGAGACAGATAAACTACTGTGAACATAAAAGACGGAAGACTGCTTGCTTTGGTGCAACATTCATAAGGTACACAAGACAGTGTCCTTTGTCACAAGACAATTCTGGAACATCCCCGAGGTGTGTGCGTGCTAAGTCACTTCAGTCGTGTCTGACTCTTTGCTAGCCCATGGACTGTGGCCTGCCAGGCTCCTCTGTCCATGGGATTCTCCAGGCAAGAGTACTGGACGGGCTGCCATGCCCTCCAGGGGATCTTCCACTAGGTACACGAGACCTAACCCTTGATAAAGGTATAAAAGGAGGAACAAGGACACTTAAATGTTACTTCTCCTTTTATTCCCATGTTTCTTCTTTAGCACATTAAAGTGTGATTTCCTCAGCCTTAGGACCCTAAGCCTCCAAATTTTCTCTAGAAAATATTCATCCTAGTATTTTTTTCCTTATTTCTCATACAATATCAAACCAATCAGTGAACATAGATTGGTTTATTAAGTTCATGTGAAGTGACCTTCTATAATTTAGTCCTTGACCCTTTACATATTTCTTTTTTACAGTTTATTTTTTTAGATCTTTAACATAATGACCTATGACAAGAAATTTAAACGTAACTAAGGAGATCCAACCAGTCCATCCTAAAGGAGATCAGTCCTGGGTGTTCATTGGAAGGACTGATGCTGAAGCTGAAACTCCAATACTTTGGCCACCTCATGTGAAGAGTTGACTCGTTGGAAAAGACCCTGATGCTGGGAGGGATTGGGGGCAGGAGGAGAAGGGGACGACAGAGGATAAGATGGCTGGATGGCATCACTGACTCAATGGACATGAGTTTGAGTAAACTCCGGGAGTTTGTGATGGACAGGGAGGCTTGGTGTGCTGCGATTCATGGGGTCACAAAGAGTCGGACATGACAGAGCGACTGAACTGAACTGAACTGAATGAAGTTTATGCTCGTATTCTAGCCCATGGTTTAACTGGATTTTCCTCTTGCTATCTTTCTCAGTTTTGGTACTTAATTTGTTGAATTTTAAATCATCTCGGTGAGATTTTGAAGTAACAAATCATATACCCTAGTGATCACTGTATATTTTCCTTATAGTTCTCAGGTCTTCTTGTAGGTACATGATAAGCTGAAATGATTTCCAAGCAAGCTGATCTAGGTTCCATTCTTGGTCAATATATTTAACACTTTTAATAGGATAGGTTCAATGATAGTTATCATTTTTATAGGTATTAATTTGACAGTATCATGATGAATTATTTAACTGTACTTATTCATCTTAATTAATCTGAGTTCAGTAAGAGTAAGGAATCTGCCTGCAATGCAGGAGACCCCGGTTCAATCCCTGGGTCAGGAAGATCTATTGGAGAAGGGAATAGTAACCCACTCCAGTATTCTTTCCTGGAGAATTCCATTGACAAAGGATCCTGGCAGACTACCGTCCATGGGATCGCAAAGAGTCAGACACGACTAAGTGACTAACACACACAACACACTAAGTATAAATTTTGAACCTGGAGTAACTTTTCACATTAGGAAATAAAAATAAAACAAAGAAAAAATGTTTGATATCACAAAAAAACTCTTTTCAAAAATGTTTATTGTAAACCACATTATAGATTCTTACTTAAATCATTAAATCATTATATTCAGTTATATCAATTACATGTTCAGAGATGCTATAAATGATGACAGTGAAAGAACATACATTTAGGATGTAAATTGTATGCTTAGATTTATTTATTTATGGCATTAGTTATTGTAGAAATCTGCTTTGATTTTTAGGCAGATGGAAAGGACAATATGAAGAGTTGCTATGACAAATAGGGTATTTTCCCATGTAAACTTATCTTTCCTTTTAATATTTCAGGTTGTTTTTTCCTTTTCTAAGGAGGAGCTTTATAGCTGGCAGTAGCAGCACCTATAGGGTGATTTACGAACCTGTCTGTTAAAAGTATCTGGGGTACAATCATGAACTTTTAAGATCTTAATTATCTTTACACTAGAAGCCAAGCTTATAGTCTTGCCTTGGAATCTCTTTAGTTTTTGGTAACTATTCCTAACCAGTACTTCCTATACTTTGACTCCATTTTAATAGGGAAAGGTTATTCTCAAAATATTGACTAGTAACAAGATAAAAAATATAGTGATTCTAAAAATGAAAATTTGATCTCAGAATGAAAATTTGGCTTTTTCACAAGTGATACTGTGAAGAGGGAGCAGGAGAATTATAGCTCAAATAAAAAACTTTATATAAATTTTAAGCAGTCTGATAACACTAAAAGGAAGAATATTTTTGGAAGGAGGACATACAATGTGCAGTGTGCTGGGACGGTCATACCTTCGGGCATCATTATGGTAGGAAGAAGGGAGGGTGTGAGTCATCCTGATGGCTCTAGGGGTAGGGGGAGGAGAAGTTTCACATTTAATTGTTGCTTTATCCTCCCGACCATCTTCTTCTACCACCGCAATCTGGAAGCAAAAAAAAAAAAAATATATATATATATATATATACCAGATTCATTTTTTCTAAATTTTAACTGAAACTGATAAAAATAGAGATTCATTAAAGCAAGGCTATTTGAGTAATTCTAACATAAAAGCGAAACAAGAAATTTAGGACATATAAGTCTTACACATAAAAACTCACATTATTAAAGAGTAGGAATTTCATAACTATTTAAAAGTTAAGACACTCCAGTTAAAACACACATACACACACATAAATGGACTTACTACATAAAATATTATTTAAGTGTAAATAAACACCATACATCAATATCCAAGGACTATGGAAAAGCTATCTTGGAATCCATTAAATATATCAGAATGTAAAAGCTTTACAAAGTTATTGAACACATATTTAAACTAATTCACTAAAAATATGCATAGTCAGGTTATCATACCATGAACATCTTTTAAGTGGGAGATATTTGAAGTGAGAGTTTGACAAAATAAAATGTTATCAGATAGGGGGTTTTAAATCAGGCTAATTAAATGTGTTCCCAGATATTTAAAAAAAGAGCTGAAGTTTATAAGAAAAAAAAACTTTCTTTTTAAAGTGAAAATAAAAATGGAATTTTTGCACACTGTTTAATTTCATTACTTCTCATGGGAAAATTGAAAAAGGCATACAGATCACCATAAGCAGATGGGATGAAAGGGATTTCTTTAAAGAACTTAGTTCCAAGTCCAGAACAATTCAAGATACCATAACTTTTGCCAGAGATGGATATACAGAACTATATTAAAGTAAGACTTTTCAACAACCGAGTTGTACAATAAAGATTTTTTTTTAAAACAATGCTGCTTTTTTCATAGTACCATTGTGTATTAAATCATATATATATACATGAAGAGAGAGAGAGAAAGATTGTGGAAAGCGTAGCTAAAAGATGTATGGTTCTAGAAGTTCTGATGAAGAAATATCTCAATATGGCTATAATAAAAAGTTTAAAACTATGTTCTCATCTTTTGTCTAGAAAATGTCTTGGTAGTTTCTTTCCATTAAGCTATTATACATAAATGCGTTTATATGTGATACTTTATGTATTCGAGACATTTAATAAAAGTGCCTGTCTGGGCTCTTGTCATTCAAACCGAGGTTACTTTTAACAGCACAGCGCACGTGTTCTCGGGTGCGGCAGTTGTGTGGGACTCTTTGCAGCACTATGGACTTTAGCCGCCAGGCTCCTCTGTTCATGGTATTCTCCATGCAAAAATACTGCAGTGGGTTGTCATCTGTTGTTTCAGGGGATCTTCCTGACCTGGGATCAAACACTCATCTATCTCCTTCTCCTGCACTGCAGGTGGATTCTTTACCACTGAGCCACCTGAGAAGCCCTTAACAGGATAAGAGAACTTAGAAGATCTCTTTTCTCCATTTCAACGAATACAGTGCTATTAGAAGAATCTTTTTCAAGAACTGCTTTCAGCATAACGTTGACACTATGGAAAACCCTTCCTAAACTCACATCTCATCTAAACTTGTAAAGTGTATTTCCAAACTCTTCCTAATACATATTTATGTTTTCACAGTTCTATTATTTTACCAAGATTGATTTCCTCAATTGTTTCTGTGAAGCCTGATTATTTCTGTTTCCAGACTTTTTCTCTGAAACACCCTCTTATCAGCTGAACTAAGGATGGAGAACAGATGGTAGGGAGTCAACTCCCGGGCTGACTGGTCTTTGGCGCAAGTAAGGAAAATGCCTTCTACAGCCAAAGGGTGACGAGAACCTCATTAGGTGGATGGACTTCAGGCTCTGCACCGACATTAACTTCATTTGGGATGTGGCAGCATCCAGATGAAGGCCAGTCAGGTAATAATGGACATCTCCTCCCGGTCTTTGCTCTATGACACTGAGTTGATTATGCTTAAATACTTGATGAATTCCATCCTGATCTCTTCCGGGTCATCCTCAAGATTCGAGTGTACCAGCTTCAGCTTGTTCAAGGGTGGTGCCAAAGCTGGGTTTTCTTTGTCACTTCCGGAGCCTGGTTTGTGGTGTGCGATTAACAGACATGGAGTATTCTGTAAGAACTGCTGCTGGACGAAGCAGGGACACCACATCTCAATTTCCTTCAGGGGACTTAGGATGCTGGCATTGAAGACGATCACCACCCCGTGAGAGTCCTTCATCAGGGCTGGCCAGCAAGACTCGGACTTTGGATCACCGCCATGATCCCAGAGCTCAAATTCACACCCCGCGCCTTTATTGTTGCTGGTAACATGTGGGTTCTCTAATTTCAGGATCCTCATTCCTTGGATTGGGTTGGGTTGTATTCAGTGATGTCAGAAGCTTCTGTCAGAAAGTTGGCCAAAACTGTTTTTCCACTCTCGCAGGGCCCCCCAAGGAGGACCTTGGCCTTCAGCAACTCGGTCCTGGGCCCATGTAGGCGCCGCTTGAGTCCTCGCCGCAGTCTGCACGGAGTGGAAGTCACCACACTATAATCTCCCTTTCTTAGCAATCATCTCTGTATTCCCTAAATTTCTTGAGGCTTTATTTCTGCACAAGATCTTCTTTACATTTTTTTCCCCTCTTATACACACTGAAATTATTTCACATATCATATACTCAGATTTCTTCCTCTATTTCCAGTATAATCCTTTTAAGTGGTGAAGGAAGTCAAAGACAAATGGTAATAACATTATGTGTGATAAATTTGGCAGTTGAGAACTAACTGATAGTGTCAAGGAGAAAATATTAAAAGAAGATAGATGATGGACAATAAAAAGAAAATTCAAACAATTTAGGTCATGTAAACATAATATGGATTCCCTTAATTAAAAAACAAAGTTCCCTAGTTCCAGAAGTATTTGGGCATAGGCTGACTATCACATCTTGAAGATGCTGAAAAATAGATTTATTTATGTATTGGATAGTAGGCTGAATCTCTAAAATTTGTCCCATCTGATTTCCTGAATCTGAGCTCTGCCACTCTCAGTTATCTAAGACAATGTTATTTTGGGAATCAGAACTCTATTCCATTTTGTTTCCAACCCAGGGATCGAACCCAGGACTCCTGCATTGTGGGCAGATTCTTTACCAGCTGAGCCACAAGGGAAGCTTTTTTCCTATACCCATGATTTATTCTCTTGACTTCATTCTAAACAGGAAAGTAGTACCTGGAGCCATGCTGAGAATGTCACTCCCTAGGCTAGCTAATTCCTAGAGATAGCAAACGATGTTCCTGGAGTTCCATATGTTCCATATGCAGACCAAACACTCTAGATCAGTATCCCAAATCATCTTTTCTATCTGGCTCTTGCACTCTGATTGTGGTTCAGTCAGTAAATTGTGTCTGACTTTTTTTTTTTTATTAGTTGGAGGCTAATTACTTTACAATATTGTAGTGGGTCTTGTCATACATTGACATGAATCAGCCATGGATTTACATGTGTTCCCCATCCCGATCCCCCGTCCCACCTCCCTCTCCGCCCGATCCCTCTGGGTCTGACTCTTACAAACCTCTGGACTGTAGCCCGCCAGGCTCCTCTGTCCATGGGATTTCTCAGGCAAGAATCCTGGAGTGGGTTGACATTCCCTTCTCCAGGGGATCTTCCTGACCCAGGGATCAAACCCGGGTCTCCTAAACTGTAAGCAGATTCCTGCATCACAGGCAGATTCTTTACCAACTGAGTTATAACGGGAGCCCTCACCCTCTAGGAGGCGCTATTCCTCGGCCTTAATCATCACAGGCCAGGTGTCAGACAACCAGAGATAGACCCTAAACCCTAGGACCCACTGAAATTATTCAAACTAGTCAATCCTAAGCTTACTTACCTTACCTTCACAATAAACATTCCTGCCCATGATTTCTCCTCACACGTTCTGAGTCCTGACCTGGTGCCTCCCCTTGGCCAGGCACAGCATGGCATGCCCGGGCTCTTGGGAAGTATGAGTAAGAAGCTACCTTTTATTGGTAATTGTTTCTTGATTTGCTTGTCTTACATAACTATGTAAACTCTGGGAGATACTGAAGGACAGCGAGGCCTGGTGTGCTGCAGTTCATGAGGTCACAAAGAATCAGACAGGATTTAGTGACTGAACAACAATGTTAAAACCTACATTTTAAAACAAGCACCACTGTTCTAGTATCAACAGTAAACTATCTAATTCTACCAAAAGAGGTCTAAAAATTCTGTGGAAAATCAGGATAATTTAGTCCCCACAGTCTAAACATTCCCCTAGAAAGTATAAAAAATTTATCTTTAGAAATTTGCTCTTATGATCGCATTTAAGCAATTCAAAATCACTTAAATATTTTTAATATTTTTATGTTAATAAAATGCTTCAATTATCAGAAAAGTAATTTTAAATCTTTCATAGAAAAAAACAAACAACATTCAATTAGCAATCATATCAAAGAAATGTACAATACCTTTCTCCGATGTTTCCTTAGATCACTTGGCTATGATTGGCAGGAATAAAAACAACACAAAATTGATGGACAGGGAGGCCTGGCGTGCTGCGATTCATGGGGTTGCAAAGAGTCAGACATGACTGAGCAACTGAACTGAACTGAACTGAACTGAATCACTATAAAAGCATTCCTCCAGGAAGCTGTTTTCAAAAGGAAACTTCCTAGATGGCACAGTAGAGGGGCACGTCTTCATGAAGGGATCATCGGTACATGCCTGAGACATGAGATATGAGACATGGACCTTAGGGAATATAAAACATATATGAAGTGACTAGCCAGAAGTAAACACGGGACTATATCCTCCCAAGGAGATATAGACGGGAGTGAAGAAGATTATGTGTGAAGGGAGAGCCAGTACACACACAAGTAGTTTATACACATTCCCTTTTATCCTGCCTTCTCGCTTTTCACTTTCATGTATTGGAGAGGGAAATGGCAACCCACTCCAATGCTCTTGCCTGGAGAACCCCAGGGACGGGGGAGCCTGGTGGGCTGCCGTCTATGGGGTTGCAGAGTCGGACACGACTGAAGCGACTTAGCAGCAGCAGCAGCAGGCAGGGCCTTGGAACTCCTTTGGGCAGATATGCTATTCCTACGTGATCTCAAACTTCCTGATATCTGAAATACTGAAAGCATCTCCTTTCTCAGATGCTATTTCCCAAATACTGAAAACTCAGGCTTCAGTACAGCATATGTCTGGGGCTGCTGTTTTCTTCACAGTGCTTTCTTACAGAATTAAAAAAATAAGTTATTTCTTTATGATCTCAGATAAAACTTATTCACTTAATGTTTGTTAATTTTTCTTACATAAGGGAAACACTTTGTTAAACTATTTCATTATACTTTACATTTCTGCTGCTATTGAAAAATCGGTTGATTTGCCTCGTTCAATATTCTAAATAACTAGATATCACTAATGTTATTTATGCCTCTGACTTTGTGGTGAGGTAAAGGTAGATATAAATAGGTTTTATTACCAGGACAAATAGTTATGTTTGCTAAATATGTAAATATTAACAATATGAGTGAATACAATGTCTTTTCAATCTCTGCTTGTCTGTCCCTAAAATTTCAAATTTTGCTTTGATTTCAAAGTTATATCCAAACATGTATTACATCCAACAAATTTTTTTTTCTCCAATATTTTCTTCAGGTAAAGGAAAACCTGTCTTTCACCATAACAATAATGAATTTGATGACAAAGTTCTACTAGGTGATAAGGACCTCCTGGATTTTACTTTTGTTTTATTGAGTCAGATATTAAACATTTTAAATGTTTAATTTTTGTTTACTTTTTTCCTCTTTACCCTCAGGAAATTCTCTAAATAGCTTTTAAGTACTCTAATTATAGTATAATAATGTTCATTTACCACTGTTTTATTTATAACTACTCAAGAAAATGCATGAGTGCAATGGCATCCTATTCATACATAACCAAACATTATGTCTAAATGGATACAAATATATTATTTTGTTATTATAAAAATAACAACACTGTCAAGGGTTTTAGTGCTAATATATAATGAAAATACTTAAAAGGTCAAAATAATAGGTTGAAAGAGTGTAGAAAATAATAGCAATACAGAAATAACCAAAGTTTTCTTGGCTTGAATGCTAAGTAAATTATACCCTGNCAAGGGTTTTAATGCTAATATATAATGAAAATACTTAAAAGGTCAAAATAATAGGTTGAAAGAGTGTAGAAAATAATAGCAATACAGAAATAACCAAAGTTTTCTTGGCTTGAATGCTAAGTAAATTATACCCTGTGGGCCAATATTCTTACCACAGCTTTGATGACAAGTAGATCATCAATATACGTAGCATAAATTACACATTCAGAAACTAAGCCAAATACAATATCATTTTTAATGACTCTAATCAGATGGATGGTTCCAGGATTTTAGAGGGGAGGGCATACCCCACAGCCTGTGGGGTTTCAGTTCCCTGACTAAGGATCAAAACTGTGTTCCCTGTAGTGGAAATGTGGAGTCTTAACCACTGGACCACTAAGGAAATTTGATTCCTAGATTTCTAAAATAAGGAGATCATAATTTGGTCATAGATCAAAATGTAGCTCAGTATATCGGGTTAGTTTATCTTAGTACATTGGCTAAAAGGTTGTGCTGAATCTAGCTGGGATCAGCTTTGATTAGTCTTTATTTGGATTTTCCATCTGGAAATAAGCAAGGGATAGGATACTCAATGCTTGAAGGAGGTATTTCCTTTTTAATTTTTTTTCATCATTTCTCTTTTATATAGATTTTATTGCATAGAAGTTTCATAATTGTAGTTTGGATATAGGAAATACTGCCTCATAAATAACCTTCTGTTCCAATTTTCAGTTGCAAAGTTAAAGAAAAAGATACCTAAACTGATATACATAATAGAAATGTTATGAAGATAAAATCTAAAAATCATTTACTTACAAGGTAGTTTTCCCCTTGGGGTGAGAATATTATATATCTATATATATACAAACACACACACACATACATATATGGACATGTGTGTGCATTTATATAAATTAATTCTAATGCCATTTTTTGCCGCAAAACACATTATTGCAATATATTTTTCTTGAAGATTTATTTAACAATCATTTAGAAATTGAGTTAAACTTCATTGTTTATATATTATACACACATACACAGATGCAGGCATTGTGACACTTTTTATAGAGGCTTCACAGCCTTCTGACCAGAAACACTATATACATTTAATATTCATATTCTTCTGTCCTATTATTAATTTCTCCTCCATTTGTTATACTTGTACTAGATTTTTGCAGTATATCATCTATTATTTGATCTATTTGTGTTTTAATTAATCTCCATCTCTAAACTTTTATATCTAATTTAAATTTTATTGTTTTAATATAGTTCTAATATTCATGACAAAACATAGACTTTCCCCTCATAAACAGTTCAGAATATTTAAANTCCATTTGTTATACTTGTACTAGATTTTTGCAGTATATCATCTATTATTTGATCTATTTGTGTTTTAATTAATCTCCATCTCTAAACTTTTATATCTAATTTAAATTTTATTGTTTTAATATAGTTCTAATATTCATGACAAAACATAGACTTTCCCCTCATAAACAGTTCAGAATATTTAAACATTCATTATTGTTGTCACTTCAACATATTTCCCAGGTAATCACAGAAATATATATTTCCCTCCTAATCACTGAAAACAACAAAGATAAAATAGTATATGCTTCTTTTTTTTTGACTTAGCAAATTTGAAGAAAAATTCAGCTCCTCTTTACTAGCTGTGTTGAACAAGGATATTTATCCACTTTCAACATTTCAATTACTTATGCCCAAGATAATGCCCTCAGATTTTCAAATGTTATCTTAGAATAAAATGACATTCAACACTCTACCTACATTATTTTTGGCAAGGGGTATTTTAATTTTTCTTTTGTATGTTAAGAGTACTTTATAATTTAGATTTCTGACTTTTAATCTCAAATGAAGATACATGAAATCAAAAATTAAAGGATAAAGAAGGGTGAAACTATTGACATGGAATTATAAAGCTCAGGAAATTTTAATATAATATTTTAATATAAAATTTAATATATTAAAAATTAGTATAGAGATAAAAATATAAATATTATAAAATAAATATAATAATAAATATATAAATAATGTATTGTATAATATATAAAATAAAATATAAAGCATTAATATATTAAAAATAAAATTTTATTATAAAATGATAATATAATATAAAATTATAACATTCTACATTGGTGTATTGAAGCAATTATAATAAATAATTTTGAAACTTACTGTGTTAAAAAAAAAACACCCAGTCTCAATGTACTTCATCAAGATATCATCAGTAAAAATGAACTTGATGGTTTAAATCATTTAGATTTCTGATGTGCTATTTAGATTTCTGCTCTTCTATTTACTAATTATGTGACCTTGGGAAATTATAGCTGTGTAGGCTCCATTTCCTTATTTTATAGTTGGATTAATATTTGTACTTATCATATAGGTTTATTAAGAAAAAATGAAAAATGAGAAAACACACAGAAAGCTTTTAGATGAGAAGAAATATCCAATAAGTTTTAGCTAATGCATCAGTAATTCTTCTAATGGAAGCAAAAGTTCTCTGGACACATCATACCAGTGTCATGACTCCCATACGATCCATTTCCCTGGCAGGACTTCGAGGTGTGAGCTTTGGTGTTGAGTGTCCACTAGGGGGAGACGAGCTGGCCAGCGAAGACGCTGTGACCGAGGCAGTGATGGAGGTACCTGGGTGGACCCGGGCTAGATTCAGGCCTTCCAGACTCACACTAGCCACTCTGTTCTCAATTTCTTCAGCACGTAACTCTGTGGATTCTTTTTCTTCTTGAATTAGTCTGAAAGATATAATTTAATTTTGATACACTACATGTTGTTATAAAGTTATTAATATTTGGAATTCATCAAATAAATAAATGCATAAATAACTGAATGTTTTTATATCAAATCTAATACTTTTATTTTTTCCCTAGACAATATAACTTTCAATAAATTCCAGAGACTTCCTGGTTGAGAACTAGAAAATCTTTCTTTCCAAATGACATATAATCCCTTGGGTTTTCAGTTTGATACCCTTTCTATACCACTACCTGTTAAAACTCTTTTAAAACTTTGAGTGCCTAGTTAATTACTGCCTCTAATCTTAATCTTACATATGTACTTAGGAACCAATATGTGAGACTTTTAAGAATTCAAATCTCAGCAAGATCATTGACTCTTACCTCCTATCCAATGAAGCAGTATGATTGATAGACTCCTCAAAAAATGGTCATTCATAATTATAATTTGACCAAATAAAACTCTGACTTAGCCAACTTGCTTTTACATAAGAACTAAGATTTAAATAATGTATACATGCTAGATAGTTAAATGTTTTAAGAAAAACTGTTGCTGTAAATGCTTTTGAGAAGACAACCCACTATTACTCTTTTTCTTTAATCAGGGAGAAACTTCAAGAATATACACGAATTATTTATCACAAAGACACAAAGAATAAAGAACTTCAGCAGGGTTGCTGCAAGATCCTATTTAAGTTGAATCCATATACAATTTGCATATTGTTATAATAAAACTGTGTACTCATATAGTTTATTTGAAAAATGGGGGTTAGAAACATCTCTCCTGAGATATTTTCCTCTTAACTATGAATGGATTATTGTGATTTCCAATGATATATAATCTTTAATTTCAAGGTAATAATCACCACAAAGTTTTCTTTTTACATATTTACTTTGGAAAAGTTTGGCAATTTCTTATAAAACTAAACATACTCTTAATATATAATTCAGTAATTGTGTTCCTTGATATTTACCCAAAGGATATGAAAGCTGAGGTCCACACAAAAACCTGCACATAGACATTTAGAACAACTTTATCCATAATTGTCCAAACTTGGAAACAATTAAGATATCCTTCAGTAGGTGAACGGATACATAAACTGGTACATTTATACAATGGAATAACATTCAGTGCTAAAATGAAATGAGTTATCAAGCCATGAAGAGACATGGGGAACAATAAATGCATATGACTAAATGAAATAAAGCAATCTGAAGAGGCTACATGTTGTATGAGTTCAAATATATGACACTCTGGAAAAAGCAACCATGGATACAATAAAAAGATTAGTGATTTCCAGGGGTTGGGAGAGGAAGAGGCATTAATAGACAGAGCACAGTGAGTTTTTAGGACAGTAAAAATATTCTGTCTGTATGATATCATGATGTTGGGTATACATCATTATACATTTTCCAGACAACCACCAGTGAGCCAAAATGTGCAAATACTGTTTGATTGCTCTGATATGAGGTTATTTAGAATAGTCAAGTTCATAGCATCAGAAAGTATATTGGTAGATGCCAGGAACCAGGAGGTGGGGGTAGGTGGGGAGGGTGAATGGGGAGTTAGTGTTTAATGGGGACAGAGCTCCAGTCCAGGAAGGTAAAAATTCAGATGGGTGATGCTAAGAGTTGCAAAACAGTGTGAATGTACTTCGTGTTACTGAACTATACAGTTAAATATGGTTAAAATTGTTGGTGTTCAGTTGCTCAGTCATGCCTGACTCTTTGTGACCCCATGGACTGAAACACACCAGGATTCACTGTCTTCTCCATCTCCTGGAGTTTGCTCAAACTCATGTTCATTGAGTTGGTGATGCCATCCAACCATCTCAGCCTCTGTCATCCCCTTCTCCTCCTGCCTTCAGTCTTTCCCAGCAGCAGGGTCTTTTCTCATGAGTTGGTTCTTCATATCAGTTGGCCGAAGTATTGTAGCTTCAGCTCCAGCATTAGTCCTTCCAAAGAACACCCAGGACTGATTTCCTTTAGGACTGACTAGTTTGATCTCCTTGCAGTGGGACTCTCAAGAGTCTTCTCCAACACAATAGTTCAAAAGCATCAATTCTTAGATGCTCAGCCTTCTTTATGGTCCAACTCTCACACCCATATGACTACTGGAAAAACCATATCTTTGATTATATAGACCTTTGTAAGTAAAGTAATTTCTCTGCTTTTTAATATGCTGTCTAGGTTTGTCATAACTTTTCTTCCAAGGAGTAAGAGTCTTTTAATTTCATGGCTGCAGTCACCATCTTCAGTGATTTTGGAACCCAAGGAAATAAAGTTCTTCACTGTTTCCATTGTTTCCCCACCTATTTGCCATGAAGTGATGGGACCAGATATCATGATCTTTGTTTTTTGAATATTGAGTTTTAAGCCAGCATTTTCACTCTCCTCTTCCACCCTCATCAAGAGACTCTTCAGTTTGCTTTCTGACATAGGAATGGCATCATCTCCATATCTAAGGTTATTGATATTTCTCTTGGCAATCTTGATTTCAGCTTGTGCTTCATCCAGCCCAACATTTCACATGATGTACTCCGCATATAAGTTAAATAAGCACGGTGACAAGATATAGCCTTGACATACTCCTTTCCCAATTTGGAACCAATCCATTGTTCCATGTCTGATTCTACCTGGTGCTTCTTGACCTGCATACAGATTGCTCAGGAGGCAGGTTAGGTGATCTGGTATTCCCAACTCTTTCAGAAGTTTCCATAGTTTATGGAGATCCACACTGTCAAAAGCTTTGGCATAGTCAATAAAGCAGAAGTAGATGCTTTTCTGGAACTCTCTTGCTTTTCAATAATCCAATGGATGTTGGCAATTTGATCTCTGGCTCCTCTGCCTTTTCTAAGTCCAGCTTGAACATCTGGAAGTTCTCAGTTCACATGCTGTTTTAGTCCAGCTTGAAGGATTTTGAGCATTGCCTTGCTAGCATGAGTGCAATTTTGTGATAGTTTGAACATTCTTTGGCATTTCCTTTCTTTGGGATTGGAATGAAAACTGACCTTTTCCAGTCCTGTGGCCACTGCTGAGTTTTATGAATTTGCTGGCATATTGAGTGCAGCAGTTTAAAGCATCATCTCTTAGGATTTGAAATAGATCAGCTGGAATTCCATCACCTCCACCAGCTTTGTTCACAGTGATGCTTCCTAAGGCCCACTTGACTTCATAGTCCAGGATGTCTGGCTCTAGGTGAGTGATACACCATCACAGTTATCTGGGTCATTAAGATCTTTTTTGTATAGTTCTTCTGTGTATTCTTTCCACCTCTTCTTAACACCTCCTGTTTCTCTTAGGTCCATACCATTTCTGTCCTTTATTGTGCAATTTTTGCATGAAATGGTTAAAAGAGTATGCTCTATATTATGTGACTTTTACTACAATAGTGTTAGTTGCTCAGTCACGTCCAACTCATTATGACCCCACGGACTGTAGCCTGCCAGGCTCTTCTGTCCATGGACTTTCTCAGGCAAGAATGCTAGAGTGGGTAGCCATTCTCTTCTTCAGGGGATCTTCCCAATTCACAGATCAAATCCAGGTCTCCTGGATTGCAGGAAGATTCTTTACTGTCTGAGCCAAAAGGGAAGCCCCTTTGCCACAATAAAATGACATTAAAAAAAGGGTGAACAATAATGTAAATTATGGATTTGAAAAATATCCTGTACCAATGTAAGCTCATCAGTTGTAAGAAAAACTACTCTTATTAAGGATGTTGATGATGTTTGGGGCCAGGAGGTATATGGGAACTCACTCCACTTTTCTCTCAATTTTGCTCTGAATCTTAGACTTCTCTAAGAAATGATATTAATAAAATACTAGTAAATTACTCTTAATTATAATATTTCACTTACACAAAGAATATGAATTCTGTTATTCTGAAGTTTATTTTCATGGTGCCTTTTAACTTCACCCAAAGATCAGAATCCCAAAGTAAGTTTTAACAAAGTAACATAGTACAACGTTAATAATGTTTAAACACATTCCAATGGAAAAACTGCCTCCTCTTCAAAAAAAAAAAAAGAAATTTTGTACTTAAAAATGATTGGTCATCAATGACTCCAGAAAAGCCTGGTGAGAGGTGACATGGTTCTGCTAAATAAGAAAATACAGTTTTAAACTCTAGGCATTCTATTAATTGCAAAGGAAAATCACATTAGAGGAACTAGTTGAGTAAGAGATAGATTGAAGTTTAATCAAACTAAAGATCCAGTGCTACTCAGATGTTCAAATCATTTGGAAAATTCACCTAAGATTTCACCTTTACCTCATTCATTTATATTGTGCTAATATCATTAATCTGCATTTTTCACATATGTTTCTTATAGAAGTTGTCCTAAGTTTATCCTGGAAAACTGTGAAATTGCACATTATAATTCAGTAGGTGCAGGGTGAGGTCTGAGTATCGGGATGCCAGTGCTTCTGATCTGATGATCACGATTTTAGAATCAAGGTCTTCCAATCCCTTGAGATCATCAGAAATCGTTGAACTCACCTGATTTCCTTGTTGATTGCATCGAGTTGTTCCTGAAGCATCATGGCCAGTGTCTGGGCATCAGAATGACCGCTTGGAGAGAGAAGGTCCATTGAGCTGAAGATCGTTTCTCTGTCATCATCATCAATGTCAGACATCTCTGTATCACTTTCAAAAGGGTGGCTGCTTAGCACTCCGATTTGTTGAGTTCTATTCCACTCATGATCTCCAAGAGATTTCACCTGGAAGGTAAAGGAAAAATTACAGTATATTTCATATTGCTCATTTTCAAAGCACTATTTTGAAAATAAAAACCAAAAACACACATGCTTTTATAGCTTCCTTGGCAAAAGTAGAATTGATTATTAACACTTTATTTATCATGTCAATAAAATAGTTCCTTGATACTTAAGTAATGGAAGGTACTAATTTCAGCATAAATATCAATACTTTAATAGGAATAAGAATGTTAAACTTCTGCATGATTTTTAGTTCAACCTCAACTCAAGGTAGTAATTATTTTAAAGCATATATGTTTCCAATATTTTCACTTTTTGTAAATGTAACAGTCTCTATTCACTGTATTTAAGCATTTCCATTTCTCATACTATTAATAATTAGACTGAGGGTACAAATATTTTCAGACAATAAATTATACAGGAATTCTTTCTCCTGTATTTTAACAAAGTATTAATAAAAACATTGCAAAGATTTAATTTAATCTCCACTGCTCTGGTTGCTTAAATGCCTCATTGATTTTTTTAAGCCTAAGGCACATCAATTTACATAATTATCTTTTTAAAATTAATACAATACATCCTCCATATGAGTAACAGTCTTAAGTAACCAACAGACCAGTGCTTTTCAGGCTGTGACCTGAAGGCAGGAGATGGCTGAAAGAAGGAGAGCAGTCCTAGATTTTCTGCTGTTTACAAGTGGACTTTCATTTTTGTGATGATATAAAATGATTTTGGGGGGGACCACAAAAGTGATATTGCCCAAAAGCCCATTTATTTGGCCACATGGCATAATAGATAAAAGTATGGAATTTGAAATCACTCAAATATAAACACAAGTTTAGACTTATCATTTGGCTGACTACGTAAGGTAGGACACATAAAATTCCTGAACTTCAATTTTTTTCATACATGAAATTAGTATAAAATAGTACTCAATTTATAAGGTTACATGAATAAATACTTGACACATGCTTAGTTCAACTTCTGGTACCTAGGAGGTGTTTTATGTTGGACTTCCCAGGTGGCGCTAGTGGTAAAGAACCCTCCTGTCAAAGCAGGAGATACAAGAGACACGAGTTCAATCCCTGGGTCGAGAAGATCTCCTTGGAGAAGGGGATTCTTGCCTGGAGAGTCCCACAAACAGAAGAGCCTGGTGGGCTATCGTCCACAGGGGCATAAAGAGTCAGACATGACTAAAGTAACTTAGCATATCCACAGGGGTTTTATGTTAGCTATAGTTTCAAAAAAGAAAAATCTGTCATATATCACACCTGAAACTAATACAAATGAATGCTTTCAGTATAAAAATACTATCCAAAATGGAAGAGCATATTTACTTAAACCATCAAAAACTTGAAATCAAAAGTTTAACCTTTGTCTCATCTCTCCTCACACCCATGCGGCCTCTCCTTGGTCTTCTTATTACTTTAGTTGTTCTGTAATCAGACTGGCTGTCCACTAGGGATCCAACAGAATACCGCAGCTCGGCGGAGGTGTCTAGATGAGTTCTGGAAATAAGGAAAACTTATCAGTAAATCATTATGCACCACTTAATTGGCAACAAAACTCAAACCCTCAAGGGGGAAGAAAATATGTTATAAATCTTAGAGGTCTCTTCAGACGCCTATGTCATAAATTTCAGTCTCAGATTCATTCTGAAGATCAGGTTCATTTGAGAACATTAAAAAGCCTTTCTGTTCATTCATTATCATTTTCAAACTCACTAGTCGATTGAAACGTGTTAAGATTGACAACCAATATCCATTGGCTTACATTCTGGCAACTCTGTTTTATTTTGAGCTATTTAGTGGATAATCCAATACATTTATCACTATGTTTGTTTTGTGGTTGTTTTAAATATTCTTCACTAACCTAAAAGAAAAATGTGTAAACTTTTTGAGTCACTGCATTATCTATTTTCCACTGTTTTGTTTTTCAATTTAGGAAATCAACAAAATACTTAAAATCAGATTGACCTAAGGTTAATAATTTTTCTTTTTTTTTGGAAAATAAAATAGGATAGTCCACCAGAAGTTTTTCAGGTTTTGATAAGACATTGTTCCAAAAATTTTAAGGAAGGATCTTTTAATAAGCACATTCAATTCTTAAACCTGCTTACAGATGAAACACTGAAAATTCTAATCGGAAAATATCATCAGACTAATTTTCAATAAACATGAAAATAAAGTACATTGTAATCAAAGTGCACTAAACATTTCTCCAAGTATATTATTTATATATGGATTTATATAAAATTAAGTTTACAGCTACAGTAATGATGATAATAACAAATGCAACATGCTGTCATATAAAATGATCCATCATCAGTAGGAAATATTCTTAAAGCTGTTTTCTCTTGAACTTGGGGCTTCTGTTGATCTACTATGCTCTTACTCTCAGTTCTCTTTGTGGACAAAAACAAACATCTCCAAATACTTGGGAAGACTATAAAAGGTTAGGTGAGTTCTGGGTTTTTGAAAAAAGTAGAAGACACTGACTTAATTGATGCAGGTTCTTGTTTAGCCCAATTGGATGTTAAAGCAGATGAACTAAGGAATCATCCTCGAAATAGATAACATCTATTGTTTTTATAGCAGCAAACTTGAGGCTTAATCAGGCAAAATGGCTTTACTGTGAGTTAGTTATATATTAAAAACTAGCCAATCAGGCCACAGCCATTAAATGGCACAACTGTCAGTTTTTATTTATAGCCGAGGATATAAGTTTTATTAAGCTAAAGATCAGATTTTAGTCACCATTGTGTGTTCAAGGAGATATTCCTAGAATGTAATAAGAATTTGATAAATATCTGGTAAGACAAGAAATGAATGCAATTGATTATATTAATAATATAGTCCAAACTGTTCAGGTCAGCATATTCCCTGTCTAAGGACCTTTATTGGTCTGTGACTGCTTAGGGTAATATCTGTGGGCACTAGAGTTTCTAAAATTATAACTCATCATGCTAGGAGTATTGTTTTCTTGTGTTTTATCTTTCAATTCCAGGTCATCAATAAAAACATTAAATAAACATTGATCCCATTGATGGGATCAAACAGGTCCCACTGATGCCCTGCTCACAACTCTTCATTGTTCTTACAAGGTCCTCTACCTGGGCTTCTTCTACTTTTCACTTTCATTTCCATTTACTCTCAAACTCATACTTTCTTTTGATTTAAGCCTTTGAACATGCTATTCTTTCTGTCTCTTCACTCATTTATGTGATCACTATTTCTTAAGTTTCAATTTAAGCTGAGGCTTAAAAGTCTCAATGTCATCTACTATTCTAGCTCCTGGTATTCCCTGTATGAATGCGAATTCCCCAGGTGAATGTGAATTCCCTGTGTGAATGTGAATGTGTTAGTCGCTCAGTTGTGTGTGTCCGACTCACAGAGTCTGTGGACTGCAGACTGCCAGGTTCCTCTGTTCATGAAATTTTCCAGCAAGAATACTGGAGTGGGATGCCATTCCCTTCTCCAGGGGATCTTCCCGGCCAGGTCTCCTGCATTGCAGGCAGACTCTTTATTGTCTCAGCCAGCAGGGAAGCCCTGCAATCTTCAAATTTGTATTTGTGCATTTTCCATCTGGAATATGTATTCTTCACTACCATCACCACTATATCTCCAATGTCACAACATCTCACAGGTAGAAAGCACTTAAGTATCTTGAAAGAACAAAAGACCTGAACCAACACTAATTGTAGGAAGGCATTGCTTATACTTTATTAGAAGCAGTTACTCCTCACCTCCCTCCTTTTATTCAACTCTGATCTGTCAGAAGCAGTATTTCCATATATTTCAATTTTAAAATTATTTTTGGTGTACAATATTTTGAGAGGCATTTGCAGATGTAAGTTACAATATAGTCACTGGTTCCTTTAAATAAGGAACCATGTAGCTTCCCCTCCAGAATCTCCTGGGACTCTTGGATGCAATCTCATAAAGGAACTTGCACAGGTAAGTAGGTATGAATTTTCTTGGAGAAAACCTGTTGCTCATTACTCTGCTTCCTGGTATGTTCTTCATTATCCTCTGCAATTATCCAGATCCTAACCTTTCTCCAGAGATGAGCCAAATCAGGCCTTTTCCAGTCACTCTGGAACTCATTTTTCTTTCTTATCATCATCATTACCATATATATCACTGAATTAATAAGTTCAGTTCAGATATATAAATCACAATAAAACATTAGAAAAATAAACATTATTTTCAAAATCAAAGATCTACATATCTAAAAATTCCTTAGGTGTATTTATACCTGCAGTACTGTGTTTCTTATATTAAACTGAATTCAAAATTATAAAGTTTGTTTTTATTAATACTCACATTGAAGAGAATGCAAATACTTTTAGGATTTTTTTAAATTTGGATTTTTCATCTGAATGCTTGAAAAATGCTTTACTAGATATGCATTTCTTCAACAATATCCATTGAGAGTCTAATATATACATATTTTTTGGGGGTGCTGAAATTATAGTACTCAAAATGGGCAAAAAACTCCAACCCTTGTGGAGCTAACATTCTTAGGATAAGTTTAAGACCCCCCCCCCCAAAAAAAAAGCACTTTTATAATAGAAGTCTGTGGTGGTCAAACGTTTCAAATAGCTGATATTGTGTTGTTTAACAAATAAATGCTTATCAAATTAGATATGTGTCTATCTACATAGCAAATAAGCATCTCTTTGCTTTTTTTTTTAAAGATGAGGTGTTTGTCAAAGTAGCTGAGTACAAAGAAATTTACTTGAAAATGTTGAGTAAATATAAGTAATCATAACCAATGATGTTTCTTCAGTAACAATGATGTTTCTTCAGGATACACTGAAAACATTTCTGCATGTAGAGAAAATGACTGATGCCTCTTCCTAGAAAAACATGTAATCTCTGTATCCATAGTTCCACTTCTTAATTTACGGTTTATAATATATAAGAAGACATATATTTCTATATATATATATTAAATGAAGAATACAAAAGGCATGTTTGAGGAAAGAATTACTAAATTAGAGAATTATTTTGGAGCATAGAAGCTATAAATCAGTAAGGAATCAAAACAGCAATGCCTGCTGACCAACAGAAAGTACTTAGTTTATTTGAGGAGATATAAAACCCATAAGAAAATTCACATTGATTTTTGGTGAACTATAGATAAGCTTTTAATTTAATATTACCTTGACATTGTGGGTTCAATTAAAGAGCCAGTTCTCATTTTCAATTGGTCAAGTTCAGATCTCAGCTTTTCAATTTCTTCTGCTAACCTTTCCTAAAAATCAAAGAGGTGTTACTCGGATGATAGGCACATACCAATAATACCAACATTCGATTATGATAAACCAACTACTAAGCTTAATAACTTTCTAAAAATGGAAAAATAATTAATATATTTTATTAAATATTGTTAGATATGACAGCAAAAAATGCCTGACTTTCCCCTTGAGATGCAAATGTAACAGCAGAAATTAATACAATTTTACCCACATTCCCTAGTACTCACTAATCCTAAATTCTAAACATATGGGAAAACTAAGGTCATGACTAGCTGTACATATGTCACTTCAAAATCAGAGTAGAAAGCATAGCAGTTTAAAAAATTAAGAAAAGGTTAAGAAAAGAATGATTAAAAAGTCATCACTTGATATGAGCTAAAATTATTAACTTGATATTGGTACAATAACTTGTGCATCTGAGAATTTTCTAAGATTGGCATTATCAGTTTCAGTCTGTAAACTTATGAAGACAAGGGTGCTCTTATAGCCCTTAATTAAATGCTCATGTAAGCACTCAGTTTTGTTTTCATGATTATAAATTTTATAACATTATAAATGTTTAAATGTGTCCTGTATTTTCCATTGCTATTAGTTCTCCTCCTTGCAGGGGCTAATGCTGGCCACTTTACTGGACTTGGGCTTCTTTTCTCACCGTGACCTTTTGTGAGTGTGGCCTTTGCAATGTTTATCGTATCTGCTCTTTTTATTCTTTCTACTGCCATCCTATGTTACACATATTTTTACCTTTTTCCTGAATTATTTTACCAACTTCCACAGAGGCATTGTTCCCTTCCATCTCTTCCCCATACATTCCTCTGCTAGCTGACTCATTTTTAAAGACACGTATGATCAAATAAAACTCTTGCTTATAGTTATCTGATAATTCTGATTATATTTATTAATACATTTATTCATTATTTCCACAAATACACAATCAGCACCTCTTTTGCGGTAGGCTTTAAGATACAGCATGCATGCTACAGCAATGAGCTATCAAATTTCCTGCCCTTATGTAATTTACAGTCTAGCAGAAAAGACAATAAACAATTTGGGTTTATAGGATGTTGGTAGGAAGTAGAAAATAGGAGAGTAAAGGAAGGCTCTGAATTAAGTGATATTTGAGTAAAGACCTAGAGAAAGGGAGGGAGTTAAAAAAATACCTTAAGGAAAGGAATGGCAAGTAGAAGGAATGGTGGGTGCAAAGGCCTCTTAGGGGGACTATATTTGGTGATGGAGAGGGCTAGGAAGCTTTTGCGTCTGGACTGGAAAAGTTAAGGAGAAAGGCAAGTGATAATGGGTTTAGGAAATCATGCTAACAGGATTTGGTAAGGGTAGGCCTGAAAGCTCTGTAAAGCATCTTAAAGTGTCTGGCTTTTACTCCCAGTGAGATAGAAAGTGACTTGGGGATTTTTGAGTAGAGAAGTGACCTCATGATTTTGATGGCTGTGAGGTGAAGTGATGAATGGGACTGGAAGGCAGGAAAGAAAGAAAATTATTACTGCTATTCCATAAACAGGCAAGAGGATTATGGCTTGGACAACCATGGTGTCAGAAGGGAATGGCAAGGATATTGGTTGCATTCTGAAGACAGAACTGAGAGAATTTGCTATTGAACTGGCTAAGGGGTGTGGATAAAGAAAGAGTTCAAGAATAGCTCCAAGATTTTTTTTTTCATTTATTTTTATTAGTTGGGGGCTAATTACTTTACAATATTGTAGTGGGTTTTGTCATACATTGACATGAATCAGCCATGGAGCTCCCAAGATTTTTAACCTGAATAATTAAGGGGAAGAAGTTGTGATCTACTGACATGACTGCTGGGTGGTGATTAGGTTAGTTGGTAGTTTGGGGAGTTGAGGGGATTACTTGTTAAGATTGAATGACCATGTGTCCAAATAGAGATAAAGAGTTGGCTCTTGAATAAATGTACTCTTTCAGGAACAAGGACCCAGTACGTGATCTAAATTTGTAAGTTCTCAATTTACAGGCAGTATTTAAAATCCATGAACTCACCAAGGACTGAACATACAAAAGATATCCAAAGATGGTCCTAGGAACTTTAGAGATCAAGATAATGAAGAGAAACATGAAGAAAAGAGGTTCAGTATAGTAAGGATTTTATTCATAATGGACTTTGCTGCTGCTGCTAAGTCGCATCAGTCATGTCCGCCTCTGTGAGACCCCATAGACGGCAGCCCACCAGGCTCCCCTGTCCCTGGGATTCTCCAGGCAAGAACACTGGAGTGGGTTGCCATTTCCTTCTCCAATGCATGAAAGTGAAAAGTGGAAGTGAAATGCTCAGTCATGTCTGACTCTCAGCAATCCCATGGACTGAAGCCTGCCAGGCTTCTCCATCCATGGGATTTTCCAGTACTGGAGTGGGGTGCCATTGCCTTCTCCATAATGGACTTTGGGTTATAGATAATTGAGTGGAAATTTGAGGAGTTACAGGAGATGTGGTTAGATTAGGAAATGTGTTCAGCTGTATGGAATGACATTCAGAAATGACGTATGACCTGGGATTTGCTTCCTGTAGAGACTGACATGGACAGGATGTAAAGCATGGAATGATGTGTACTGCTGATTGCCTGGGCAGACTGTTGGAGTTATAAGGTTCAGGTAGGTGGTTGGGGAGTGGGTTCTGGGGATCTTGCCAGAAGCACACAGAGCTTTGAATAACATAATATTCCATAATAGGATCGAGTCCAAAATTCACAATCTGGTAACATTCTAGTCCTTTAAACGCATACCAGTCACAGCAAACTTCTGGTGATTCAGCAAATCAACCATCTTTGTTTTTTCTCCACACTATTGCATAGGTTTTGTCCTCTTCCCTACCCTTCTCTGTTGGTTAAGGTCATATGTGCCTTCACGAGCTTGATGAAATGTCATCTTCTTTATGTAGACTTTCTGAACTACTCCAGAAAGAATTAGATGCTATCTTCTAGGCACCATACTGAATTGTTCTAATACATCTGTCTTTCAGGGGATAAGAGTATGTACATCCTGACTGTGGGACAAAATAGCTATTTTTAAATTAATATAATATGTAGCATTCAATACAGTTAGATGTACAATTGTACCTTCTTATCTTTATTCTCTCATCTTTTCCAATACCTTCCAAATGTCATATGTTGTCAGATCTTCCGTCCCTTCCTTCCCCTCTCCTTTCCTCCCTCTCTCCCTTCATTGCTTTCTTCCGTCCATCTGTTCTTCCTTCCCTCTGTTACTCCCTCTTTCCCTCCCTCCCTCCCTTCTCTATTTCCATTCCTTTCATCTTTTGTTGAGCACACATTTAATAAGTCACTTATTAAGAGAGTGACTTGGTATTACTTTGTTTACCAATGCTGAACAAAATCAGACAAAATTGCTAACAAGAATTGTACATGCTAAGGAAGGAGGGAAAGACATTATCAATTTCAGCTTTTAACTTTTCATAATCTGGTCCTTATCTGTCTAGTCTATCACGTATTCTACAGTAAGAATAACTGATTCCAGTAAAACTTTTAAGCCCATTATTATTTAAGATCTCAAACCTAACTACTCATCCTCCCTCCACTCTAAGCACCCAGAATCAGGGCACAGGTACTGTATTTGAAAGACTTGCACCACAGTCCTGTGTTTCCTTAAACTTTTCTGAAACCTTCTTTAGGGCATCAGTGTATGGTGATCTCTCTTACCTGTAGTTCTTATTGTCTGTTTCACTCATTTAGCACTTGGCATCTGCTACTCTACAATTCATTGCTTTGTGATTTTTCTCCTGAGACTTTTTCAGATACTTTAGAACCAAGATTGTGTTTGCAAAGATGTAACTTATCACAACTGTTATGCACAATAGATATTTAATACATTTCAGCTAAATGTATTAACTAGACACAAACTAGACACAAATCAGTGCATATATTTTTATATAAAGTTCAAAAAGCCAAAATAATTTTTCTTTCTCTGTTAGTAGTCTAGATAGTGATTATCCTTTAGGATAAAAGTAGTGATTACAGGCTAACAATGGGGGCTTCCAGGATGTTGATTTTTAGTGTGTTGGCTTGTAAAAATTTATCAGGCTTTCTTTCTATATGTATACTTTTCTGTATGTATTATATAAGATTTAACTATTTTAAAAGATAACATCCTAAAATTATTATCAAATTATTTTACAAAAAAACATTCACCACTGTGAAATAGAAAAGTGGACAAAATGTAAGCTTCCATAATACCTTATCATGTAAAGATTCTTCCAGATTCTTTCTGAAAGTTTCTGATTCTTGAATTAAAACATTCTACAGAAAAGGAAAGAAGAACAGATAAATAATTAATAAACTAAGGAGAAAATCATTCATTGTGTAGATTAATTTTATCTGACTCAAGAATTTTCTTTGATTCCTTCCTTGGCATCATCTATTTTTTTGGTTTCCATGGAAACTAAGTTTCAATGGAATCTTTAAACAAGACACTTGAACATTTTTAGAAATACATAATTAAAATGGGAAATGTCATTTTGTAACAGTTGGATTGACAAATAAGATAACTATTAACTTTTAAACTATTTTTGTCGACCTCTTCTTAGTCTTTTTAAAATCTGAAATAATCAGTTTACTCTTTAAATAAGAAAAAGTGAATAAAAAGCAAAATATTAGTCAAAGCTGTCACAGAGAAGAAGTCAGATGAACTCATTTTTATTACCTGATGAAAGAAAAATTTAAGATCATATATTTTAAAGATTCAATTTCTGAACCTTTATTTCATATACAGAATGAACAATTTCTAATAATGATTAAATTATTAAATAAAAATAAAATTTAGCTATTTAAAAATCAATGTTACATGTCATGATATATAACTTCCATGACAGATTTTTAAAAAATCCTTGCCATAAAAGTATTATTATTTTAAAAATATTTATATTTTTCTTATAGTATTACAAAGCATGATTTATAATAATGCATACTTTTTAAATTTATAGATTAAAATGAAAGTAAGAGTTTGGTAACTGGCTTACATTTGGAACTGAATAGGAAGAAGGTATGCCTTATGACTTGATGGGTAAACTGATCAAATTTCTTTAACATTTTCTTGAAACAAATTTCCTGTTTTGGTTTAGTGTATGGAACAAGGGGAAATGTCTAGTTTAGGCATTCAGTCTAAATTTCCAAAATGATTTCTCTACCTGGGTTTTATCCCTACCTTTTTTATATCATGGAACTGGCAATCAGCTGACATAACTTTTGTTGATCTGGTAGTTGCCAACTATTAATGAGACATATAAATTGTGAGTGAAATTGCAGATTGTACAAAAGCCCGCTTTTGGAAATAATATGGCTGAAAGCATTGCATTTCTAAATTCTGTGGTGAGATTGACACTGATTTTATTGGTGATATAAACTCACTCATAGTTTGGCTTTTAGATTAGTAGCAGATTCAAATACTTGAAACATTTGAATGGTTCATATCAGACCTCCCTACCCTCCACTCCAAAATACTATTTTTTGTCTTAATCTTTTTTGCATACCAGGTGAGAAATAAATGAAACACTTTCATTGCAAAAGCATACCACATTTCAATACATTTGTCTATATGATCATGCTACACATGTTATATAACATGTAACTTTTTTCATTCACTTAAAATTTGATCTTACATAGTTTTATAGAAGCCATTTGTTCACTTTTAAGATGTATCAGGCTCCTTTCAAATTAAAGAAAGTAAATGGATCCTCTGACCAATACTATGATTGCAGCAAAGCATAGAACAAGCATGATCATAAGAATATAGCTAATAATCATGTGATTTTACTGTTGGTCATTTTACCTTCTCTTCTAGAGCAGCCATCCGTTCCTTTAAATGTAGCTGTAAGCGCTCATTGGATTCTGTCAGAAGTCTGTCCACAGTATCAGATAATCTTTTGTTGTGCTCCTCATTCATTTTCTCTCTTTGCCTAGCCTTATATCCAAATAAATAAATTTAACATAAGAATCATTTAAAAATTATTTGGGCTTGTTTTTATATTTTTTCTAGTTTAAATACTGGATTTAATTTTATGTCTGTTTTGATTAAACTGGCAGAAGCTCTTTTTTTTAATGCACAGGGCATATCCATATGATTTTAAATATAATCCATAATCAAGAAAGGCATTCATTTTTTTTTGTGTGTGTGTGTTTTCTTTTTTTTTCCATTTATTTTTATTAGTTGGAGGCTAATTACTTTACAATATTGTAGTGGTTTTTGCCATACATTGACATGAATCAGCCATGGATTTACAAGTATTCCCCATCCCGATCCCCCCTCCCACCTCCCTCTCCACCCGATTCCTCTGGGTCTTCCCAGTGCACCAGGCTGGAGCACTTGTCTCATGCATCCAACCTGGGCTGGTGATCTGTTTCACCCTAGATAATATACATGTTTTGATGCTGTTCTCTTGAAACATCCCACCCTTGCCTTCTCCCACAGAGTCCAAAATTCTGTTCTGTAAGGCATTCATTTCTTATAGGTAGAGTATAAACCCATAAACTGATGCTTGAGAGGGATGGCTCTTAAAATACATACTCTTTGAAGCTCTTGATTTTTCTCTTCGAGTTGACCTTCGAGATGCCTCATCCGTTCTTCAATATTTCCGTGTCTTTCTTCAGCCTGTTAAGAAACATGAAGAATGCACCTGACACGTAAGGTGTGGTTAAGACTCTTCCTCTAAATAAACTGAAATAAAATGTAAAGCAAGCTACTACCAACTGCAAATGTAGTTTTCAAAAAATAAACTTTCTTTCAACAGGCAGCTGAACAGCATTGCTTGAAATGTGTCAGCTACAAAGGCCTGTCACATCCAAGCATCAGCAAAACATTGGAGTTATTTATGAGCAATGAGATCAGCCAAATGTAACATGCAGACTGTGCATGGTTTGAACACAAACCTGCCATTGTCCAATCTTAAGCTCCTGAAGCACTCAACTGCACAGATGGTCGATTATCAATAAATAAAAAGTAACAAAATTTTTAGAAATGAAAAGAAAAAATTAGATGGATTCTATTTAGCAATAGAAAGTAAAGTCCAGTAGGACTACCTTCCTACGTATGGAGATCATTTCTTGTAGTTTAGCTTCCATAACATATTGATAATCATCAGATGAGGTAGAAGAGGTTGGATCAGACTAACAAGTCAAGGAAAAGGAGAGGGACAAAATTGAAAAATCAGAACGAAAGACACTGGCACTGAACAGAACATAGCACAGAATGCTTAAAAGAAAAGTGTGACAGCAAATTTAATACTTTAATAGACAGAATTGTATGTGGAAAGAACTACACTGATATTTGGTGAACATGATGCAGTTGATGGTTGTAAGTGAAAAACAATGATATGCTCAAATAAAAAGCTCCCAACCTAAGGTATGAAGGGTTAGTGATGGCTGGCGATGAAAGATTACTACAGAACGAATTAAAGCAACTCTGAGAGAGTCATGTAATAGTTGGAATTATGGGAAACCAAACACTAGAATATGCTTCTGATGCACTATCAAAAGTTTTATGTTTTGGTTTGTTATATTACTTAAAAATAATGGAAACAGTGTACCTCAATGATGAGGAGTAGGCCAAGGCAATGATCTCAGGTGAAATAAATTTGGAACAGTATTTATTATAAACCCAACTCTGTAGAAATCAGAGAAGAAGCTAAGCTATGGGTTTAATTATTATGGGGTTAATTAATAATTGGAGTATTCTCCAATTCAAGCAGGATTGAGTTTTCTCAGCAACAGTAGCAAACTTACAAAATGACTTCTGGTCTCTGAATACACACTATGGTTGTAGGTGTAAAACCTTAGCATCTACTCTTAGACACAGCCTTCATTTGACATTTTAAATGAAAATGATGAGAAGTCCTCAAAGTACCAAAGTGACGATAGTGCTGTGAGGACAAGAACACCTACAGTGAACTTTCCTGAATGAGACAAGGGGCCACTCCAAAACTGACTCTGCCTTGATTTGTTGCTATGGAAACTAAAGAGTGCCCTAAAGTGGAAAAGCCGCACAGTGCCTTTGTGAGCTGCTGTTTGCCCAGTGACAAGGTTAGTTAGTGTTTTGGAGGTGAATGTCAGGTAACCACAGATGCAGAGTGTTCAACATATGACATTGCTGATAGCTGAATTGTATTAGTATGTTATGCACAGATTACATGTAAAGTTACATCAACATTTTAATCGTAACTACAAGTTAAATAATCACAACAGTCAAAATACCTTATGTCAGTATAAACAATATTTAACTCCAGAGCATATTCTATTACATTTTAAAAGTTTATTCTAAAACAGTGAAACTTACTTTATGCAAATATAAGACTATATATAAATATGTCATGCAGTACCTGAAAAGAAATAGTAACCTATTCATGTATTGGTTCATATGCATATGTGCTATTTTATGCAGCAAATTCCAACTTAATCTATAAAACGAGCATTTAACATTTAACTCATGGGCTTATGTGAAGTATAACTCAACATTTACATTTTGTAAGATTTTCCTTCTGATATTCTTATTTCATAAATTGGCAAAGTAATGAAGAAAAAAGAAATAATCAATTTATCTCCCCAAATCTCCAACCAGAAGCAATACAGAATGCTACAATAGTCTTCAAATGCTACAAAACAATTTTATAATATTATTTAAAATTTATAATTCAATTATTAATACTGTATATAGGTCAAAATATTGCTGAAATGATATACTTTAAATTCTTAAACAGATCTGTAATCTCTCGAAATTAAATTTTAACAAGTAATGTTATGACAATTAGTCAGGTGATTGATTCAAGGTAGTCAAAGCATGAACATTTCTATTTCCAAAACTGTTCATTCCAATATACAAGTAAAGTTAGTATATCTTTCAAAGGTCCTTAAAACTTCTAGCTGTTTACATCTTAACTATTGAAAACACACCACACATTGTGAAACTTCACTTCAGAGATTAAACAAGAATTCTGTCATATTTAAATCACTATGTTTTGTTGATATTTTTATTGGTACTAAAAATGGATGAAATACCTTATGAAATTCAAGATGAATTATGTCCTTGTTGAGGGAATATGCATTTTAATTAAAGAAGTAAACATTATAAATCAAAAGATTGGGAGCCCAAAATGTTTATTAGTTGTGTATTCACTCACCAAAGCCGAATTTTTCATTTTATCCCTAGCCACCAGCATTTAAAACTTTTGACTTCATGAAAGCCTTAAATGAGCTTTAGCTACCTATTTTTACACATACACACACATACATACATACATACCACCAGCAGAAGAAAAGATTGTCTTATCAACCATACAGTAAATTCAGACATCATCTCTAAACAAGAGCTGGATAAGTGTGCAAGAACTACTGATTTATGTTCATCTTAACCTGAGGAAGACTGCAATTTAAGAAAATGATGTAAATACTGCTGCTGCTGCTAAGATGCTTCAGTCGTGTCCGACTCTGTGCGACCCCATAGACGGCAGCCCACCAGGCTCCCCCGTCCCTGGGATTCTCCAGGCAAGAACACTGGAGTGGGTTGCCATTTCCTTCTCCAATGCATGAAAGTGAAAAGTGAAAGTGAAGTCGCTCAGTCATGTCCGACTCTTTGCGACCCCATGGACTGTAGCCCGCCAGGCTCCTCTGTCCATGGGATTCTCCAGGCAAGAATACTGGAGTGGGTTGCCATGCCCTCCTCCAGGGAATCTTCCTGACCCAGAGATTGAAGCCATGTCTTTTATGTCTCCTGCACTTACAGGCAGGTTGTTTACCACTAGTGCCAATGGGGCAATGCAGAAAAGGAAAGTTAGATGACCATCTTGGACAGATTAGCAACCTTTTCAACTTTCGTTATCTCGAAGTGACTTACTCTAGAATGCTACAGAGTTTTAACCCATTCCTCACTATAGTTTGACAGCTCTCTTTCCAATTTATCCCTCTAGTCACAGGATGTGTGCATGCAATAGGCAAATCAGTGTTAAGAACCTTATTTCAAAAACAACACATTGCCAAGTCAGAGTCTCAGGACGCATTCAAAACAGGACAGAAAAGACAAAATCTAGGGAAGGTATTTTCAACAATCATGATTCTAAATCTCTGGTGATTTGAGCCAGAACTACTACTGCTGCTGCTGCTGCTGCTGCTGCTGCTGCTGCTGCTGCTAAGTCGCTTCAGTCGTGTCCGACTCTGTGCGACCCCATAGACGGCAGCCCACCAGGCTCCCCCGTCCCTGGGATTCTCCAGGCAAGAACACTGGAGTGGGTTGCCATTTCCTTCTCCAATGCATGAAAGTGAAAAGTAAAAGTGAAGTTGCTCAGTCGTGTCCAACTCTTCACAACCCCATGGACTGCAGCCCACCAAGCTCCTCCGTCCACGGGATTTTCCAGGCAAGAGTACTGGAGTGGGTTGCCATTGCCTGCTCCGATGTAAATATTAGAGTCATGCAAAAACAGTCTGCAATTTTATGACTCCTTGATGGGATACAGGGCTTATCTTACTTTCACTCTCTAACGTGAACAGACAATTTTCAAACGAGCTAAAGTTTTAGAAAAAATTACAGGAAGAAATGGTTTTGAGAAGAATGTGAATATATTTGGAAATGGAGAAGGAATTAAAATTAAAGAGAGGAGGGCCAAAGAGAAGAAAAAGTACATAACAGATAATAAAAGAAAAAATACATATAGATCAATAAAATATATGAAAGATTGTTAATAAAATCATTCAAAACATAGGATAGGGAGTCTAGATTTAAATTAAGCATATATCATAAATTAGTGAGAAATCAAAAATATTATGAAGTAGAAAAAGACTGGAGATCAATAATAGTAAGATACTGAAAACAAATGGGTATTGAAACAATGAACAACTAAAGCTGGTTTTAGAGACAGTCCCTTTAGGTCTTGAGAACAGAAGATAAGAAAATGCTTAAAAATTATTTTAGCCATCAAACTTGGGAGAGCAAATGAAAGACTGAAAGACTGATCTTCAAATGTTATAAAAGGGTTATAAGCAGAGGGAGTACATTGAAAATAAAATCTCAGAGGAGCGTGAATAATGAATTAAATATGGCCATTTGAAAGCTATATATCTGAAATAATGTGTTGATATACAGCCAGTCAGTAGAGAAAACAGCAAAAAGGACAAGCAGAGTGAATTCTAGCTTCACACATTTTAAGAAAGATAAAACTGCACAAAAGGGAGGAAATCAAAAGGTCTAGATGAAGTAGAAGTTTAGTAATGTATTATTAGGTAGGAGTAAACTGAGGAAATACTTTGGGTGCATAAATGAATATAGGATCAAATATGATTCCAATACAATTAAATGGAGGGCAAGACAGATGAGATACCTACTTTATTTTTAAATTCTAAATTAAGGATTCTTAGGGATATTTAATTAAAGCCTCATTTGTCAAGTATTATATTTTAAATTATGCTTTATTCTCAATCAATCAGAGGTTAATTTGGGGCAAATTTGCTGAATTTTAAATTGTGTTTTGGGGAGTGAGATTCCAGACTTTCTTGTATTTTACTCACACAATATTGATAACTATTTTATACTAAAATATCACAAAAGTTCCTTTTATTATATAACCACTTGCCTAACTCCTTCTAAAATATTTCAATTCAATAAGATAACTATAAAAATCCTTTATATTCCTCAGATGAAAAGCCTAAGTACACATATCTCAATCCATATTACAGTAATTTAAAATGTGCTTCCAAAAAATAGAATACTACTAATCTGTTTGTACTTTTTATATAATTTCAAGAATATTTCTCAAATTAAATAAGTTTATATTTATTTTAGAAAGCATACAGTTCTGAAACTGCCAGAATGGTTTATGGTAATCTGATCTGTGACTGTAGAAGGATCCACATTGTATCACCCTAACCAGACAAAAGTTCTGTTCAGCTAGTTAGTCCAGTAACTCTACAGACACCCAACTATTCCAATACTTTCTACTTTGGCAACTGTTGGTCCTTTCACTATCTGATTAACTACCCTATGTTAATGAGCAGGATCAGTTTACTGTTCCTCTCTGATCATTTGCTTTTTCTGGAACCAACAATGTGTGCCTGCTTTTACTCTGCTTCATCAGTTGTTCTGGATAATTCCTCATATCAAAGTTTATAATTTGCAGTTTACATATCTATCTGAGCCATTTACAACAATGGCACGAAAAAAAGCTTCCATGACTTAGGAGCCTGGCAGGCTACCATCCATCCTTGGGGTCGCAAAGAGTCAAGACATGACTGAGTGACTAACACTTTCACTTTTCACCAACAATGTTTAAACATCTAAAATGTGTGTACATTTTTGAATTGATATTAAAATTCAAACACGCTTTTAGTGACAAAATCTGGACTTTTATTCTAGTGACATGCATATACACTTTGAAGCAATTGCCATTTTCATTTAACTGTGAAAGGTAATAGTCATTTGGGTTTCCCTAGTGACTCAGCTGGTAAAGAATCCACCTGCAATGCAGGAGACCTGGGTTCAATCCCTGGGTTGGGAAGATATCCTGGAGAAGGGAAAGGCTACCCACTCCAGTATTCTGGCCTGGAGAATTCCATGGACTATTCCATGGGGTTGCAAAGAGTCAGATATGACAGAGCAACTTTCACTTTCACTTTACAACATTATAATGGTTGCTAAGTTCTAAAATAAGCAAATAATTGCAGAACTTAATGTCCATAATGGAGCAGTTAATTCTGAACATTCTTCAGAATATTATTAATTTTATTGGTTCAGAAGAAATTTCAACTATTAAAATCACTTTCTGTATTTAATACCTTTAGATTTCACAGCTCTACAAATCCAATTTTCAACTTCTAACAAATTTTTTTCATACTGTAATCAGAAAGAAATTGCTTATGATACTTCCTGCATTTTTAAAACTGTACAATTTATATTAAGCTTACTAAACTATTATGTCTCATATATATCCATGTTAAAATCATCATTATGTTTTTATATTTGGTGATTATTCTATGTACACATATTACCATGGAAAATTAGCTATAAGAACATGAAACTTTGTGTTTGCTAATGTTTAAATAGGCAAAGAAATAATCACATTCATTTATCAATCATTGATTTCAACATAAATAGGATATATGTAATATAAAAAGTCATCTAAACAACAGACCAATATAATATAAACTCCATAAAGCCTAAAGAAAATCTTTATAGATTCCATTTTGATTACTAGTCATCTCTATAAGTATTAACATATCTAGGTTGACCAGTTGTTTTATTGTAGTACCTTTGTCAAGGCTGCGATTCTCTGAGCCAATTCAGCCTCTACTTCAGGTAAGGTCTCAGCTTTTCTCATAGTTTGCTGCAACTTTTGCTCAGCCAGCTCGAGACGCTCTTGTAACTGTCTATTCTTCTCTTCCATCTGAACCAGGGATGAAAAAAGAGACACTTAAATTGTCACAGTTAGGATAGCAAACACCAGTCACTAGGGGCTGTGGGCTTCAGCCTTTATCCTAGAATTAAAATCAGCTGGTACTACCACATGTTTTCATATATTGCTTATCAATATTCCTTAATAAATTTAGCACATAAAAAATGAAAACCTTTTACCAACAATAGCAAAAAGAAATGAAGTTAATAGTGAGAATTAACTTGGACAAATGAGACACAACTTAGTACTGAAACCTCAAATGCACCATAATAGCAATTTACTGAAAATCTTAACATTAGCGACAGTAGGAGAGGGAATGGATCATAATGATTGAGAGTTCAGGCTCTAGAGATGAAGTTGGGAAACTTCTGCTAAGGACCAGATAGTAAATACTTTAGGCTCTGTGTATCACAAAGTCTCTGATTCACCTATTCAATTCTACTTTTGTAGCAGAAAAGCCATCAAAGATGATGATTAAATGAATGGATATGGTTATGTTTTGATAAAACTACACTTATAAAACAGAGCCATGGTTTTGGCATGTGGGCTATAGTTTGCCCATTCCTTCTCCAGAGCCAGATAGCCCTAGGCTTCCACTATTGACTGCAATTACTATATGTGTGACTCTGGGAAAGCAGTCATGTTCTCTGAACCTGGCTTCCTCGGTATAATAAATGTACTTACTTTACTCTCAGTAAAATAATTGTGTAATAATTATTATACTTTACACTATAATGATTGTACTTACAGTTGGTGGCTGGGTTTAAGTGAGGTTTTATATATATATATATATATATTGGTTAGCATAGTTTCTGGTTCATGTCTAGATCCAAAGTAAATATTAGTCATTATTTTTAAGACAGATTTCTAGATTATATACTGAAAATCACATCTATTTAGTTAGCATGATTCTAAATTGCAGAGAATAATTTATTGCTAAGGAATACCACATTTTACATACTCCAGGCTTTGTGAGAATGGTGAGAACACAAACCGACCAGAAGGAAACCAAGACGGAGATACTGAACCTGCCGTAGGATGGCCTCTTTATTCGCTAGCTCATTTTCCAGCTTGTCGTTCATGTCGTGGATGGAGGTAGATTCTCTCTGAGCACTGAGGTACCGCTTCTCAAGGGTCGTGATTCTTTCTTCCATGTCTTCCTTCTGTGCCATAGCCTAAAATGAAAATAATTAAAAATCAAATCAGATTCTCAGTTTGTGTATTGTCTTATTATCATTTAAATAAAATAGTAAGATATATATAATATAATATTAAATATTACATTAAGCAATAATTTTAAACCACATAATTCACAGATAACATGGGCATAATTTTATCTTCCAAAGAGCTTAGATGAGAATTTATTAATAGGCAGATAACCTACTTCTTTGAGATACTGGGGAAAATCAGCTATAGAAGTGGGCCTGGTGTGGTTTTCTGATAATTTGGAAAACTCTTTTACATGGTGGTGGTTTAGTCTCCAAGTTATGTCTGCCCCTTGCGACCCTATGGACTGTAGCCTTCCAGGCTCCTCTCTCCATGGGATTCTCTAGGCAAGAAAGCTGGAGTGGGTTGCATTTCCTTCTCCATTATTGTATGAGAAGCCTAACACTGAGGAGATGGCGGAAGTTTCCATATATTACTCTCAAGGTCTCTTTAATCACTTGTTCCTAACCAGTCTCTGTTACTCTCCCACAGGCAGAGCCAATCCTGCCACACCCACAGAATAGATAAATTCTCTTCCTGTTTTCCAAAAGAAGTAGAAGCCCTTAAATGGACAGCCTTTCAGCATCCTGAACTTCCCTCACCAGCATCTGGAAATTTAACCATGTCCACACATCCTTAACTTCTATCTTTCACTTTAGAACAGGTGTTCTGCCTTCTCTCAAAGTTTACGCATTAAATGTATTCTGGGTTTCATGCCTTTTCTACTGTAGAGATCTTGATCACTTTTTTCTCATGAATTTTCAAGGTGAAGGTAGAGGTAAATCCCATAACAATAGCTGAGAGAATGGAACAGGCTTATAAAAGTTTTGGTATACATTAAAGGTGGAGGGCAGAGGAAAAAGAGATGATTCAAAGAAAATAAAAATAAAAAAGATAAATCATTTGCTTGACTACTGTCCATAACTGAACTGAAACTATGAAACCAAACTGTTGGGGAGGGTAGGAAGATTCACGATAGCTTTAAAAATAAGTAAGCAAATTAATTTATCAGGTAATTAATAAAATCCTAGAGAAATAGCAAGCTATTCAAAAGAAAATGTTATTACTGAAAACCATTACTTGGATCATTTGTGGAAACTATGTACATAGTCATAATAATGATGAATATAATAAAGAGTCAGACATGACTGAGCGCGCATACACACACACACACAATAATGATAACACTGAATGTGATTTTGAGATGAGTGTAGTGGAAGGATGGATGGAAGAGAAAGGAAGTGAAGGAGCAAAAGAGATAAAATCCTCATATTATATGATAGCAAGACATAGTGGAAGTGAAAGTTGGTCAGTCGTGTCCGACTCATTGTGACCCCATGGACTACAGAGTTCATGGAATTCTCCAGACCAGAATGCTGTAATGGATAGCCTTTCCCTTCTCCAGGGGATCTTCCCAACCCAGGGTTTGAACCCTGGGTTCTTTGCATTGCAGATGGATTCTTTACCAGCTGAGCCACAAGGGAAGCCCAAGAATACTGGAGTGGGCGGTCTATCCCTTCTCCAGCGGATCTTCCCAAACCAGGAATCGAACTGGGGTCTCCTGCATTGCAGGCAGATTCTTCAGCAACTGAGCTATGAGGGAAGCTCATACACATTTCTTAAATCTTATCAATTTACACACAGAAAGGTTTTATTTTATTAACTAACAGTTGTAGTTTTATAATTAAAGTTGTTGAAAGGAATTGTTTTTTTTTAAATGTATACAACTCTTCCAGACCTCACAAAAAACATATGCTTAACTGTTGGCTTTTTAAACAAATTATCACAAATGTAACAATGTGAATAATACTTCAACAGCAGTTGCTATTTCTAAGTAACAAACATATTTTCAGAGAACTAAATTCATTGATATGGCTCTTCTTTTACAAGCATGCTTTCATGATATATAAAAACATATTTTTTAAATTTTATTTTCATTAAAATGTCTATTCTTTGGGGAATTCTTTCAGTAATAGCACAATCCTCAATCCTATTACCCACTAGTCCAAATAATTTTTAAGCTTATCAAAAAGCAATACAATCGTTTGCCAAAAGTACCTATGTTAAAAATATCCTTCATATCCAAAATCAAATTTATTTAAGCCAGCATCTCATATTGGAAATTTATACTTTATCACATTAAAATGGTATAAAGGAAGTTATAACTGACATGCTAATAAGGCTTTTTAAGCTCACCAAAAAATGGAAGTCAGTGAAAGTTTCCTTTCAGAAAGCTGGTTCTTTTTAAAAATAAAGGTAAAGAACTTGTGAATTGTAAGAATTTGTTTCATGATTATATAAAAAATGTTTTCTATACCTGTTTTAAGTTAATAGGATTTTGACCTACTCTAGTTTGGAAGTTACATGCCTCAAATACAAAATATAGCTCTTTAGTACTGTCTTCAATAAATATCACTTACACAGGCAGTTATATAAGACTAGGAGCAGTTCTAGACAACAGCGGCACTCCTCTGAAAACCTGTCTGCCTGTGGAAGGTACAGAGCCGCAACAGAATCTCAGGCTCCAAGTTCACTCCTAGGAAATGTACACCCCCAGAACGAAGGAACAAAAGGTGAGCGATCACAACCACACACAAAGCAGAAGGGCAACGGCATGTCTTCCTCTGTAGAATACAGCAAAGTGATTTTTTGTATTCTTTTGAAATCAAAAAGCACTTAAGGTTTCTGCTAGATCTCCTTTCTGTCATTACTACTGCTGCAACTAGTAACACTTCTGTTTTAAATGCAAGCCTTTGAAGGGCATGAACCAGGTCTCAAAGTACTTTAAATACCTCTCCCAGAAGCCTTTAAGACTTTACTAAATGTCAAACAACAATTAATATAAAGGTAACATTTTTTTGGCTCAGAAAGTCTCAGAGCATTTCAGTCTTTAAAATCACAACTGATAATTTTCTTAGACATCTAGGTTAAGTTTAAATAAGAGAGAAATACCAAAAGTAATGGCTAAAAGGATTGAAATTAGGCTTTGTTGCCCTCTTTGACTACCTTAATCCTGCTGAACTTCAAGACCAGATTAACACCTACTTGGTTATTTATGTTTATACTAATGTTCAAAAGTGTGAAACTCAATCCATCAATTTGGCAAAAATTATCCAAATTATTTTTTCAACAGTATATACACTTCCCCAGATCATAGCCATCCAAACAAAAGCTACTATTTAAAAAACTTTTCCAAAAAATTTAGACTTACTCTATTTTCTATATTTTTTAGTCCAATGATGGTAGGGTTTTCAGAGTATTCCTTTAGAGTGCCTACAATTGTAAATTGAATTGTTATATATCATATTGCTAATTTCATTTTCATTCAGACCTCTGGGAATGTTATAACAATTTTGTAGCCCAAGAAAAAATTCTAAACCTAGTTTACATATATAAATGTCTTACAAAATTCAGTTAAAGGCATACATGTGCTTCTTCAGAATGTGACTATGAGGTAGTACATACTTGCTTTTAATCCTAGTTTTTGATACTTATTAGCTCTGTTCTAGGTAAGCACTGTTTAATTTTTCTATGTGTCATCTTCTTTTTCTTAAAATTTGGTCTTTGGTTGGAATATTAATACCTACTACATAACATTGTCATGATATAATATTGTAAGTGCCTTGCATGATGTCCTATCTATAGTATACACTCAGTAAATGCTAACTTTTTTATTATCATGTACAATACCCACTCAAAAAATAATAGCTTATTATTATTTATTTATTATTTTTATTATTATTATACCTACAATTATTAATAGTTGACTGTGACATATGTTACATGTAAGAATTATTGGATGGGACTTTGGTATTTCAGTTTTAATTCAATGATTCATATCAGAGATTCAATTTACAACTGCAGGCTGTGTTGCCAAAAATATATTTTGAATTTACAAGTTGGAGAAATGTCTTTTCACTGTGTATTACTAAAAATTCTAAATAAGAAAGCTTTTACTAGTTCCTGAAAACTTCAGGCTAAACAAAGGAGAAAAACTGTATAAATAATTAATTTTCTCTTGGCTTGAAGGCTATAAACTATACTTTATTATATCAAATACATGTAATTCTATAATAACTTAGAGCTACTAAAGTGCAAAAATATAACTCCATGTTTCAGATAACAGAAAAGATTAAATTATATGTACTCACTCATACAATCACTTAGTGAACATTCAGAGGTCTTAAGAAGTTGGAGTGATAAGTTGTTTTTATTCATAAAACAAAATATAACTGAAATACTTCACAGAAAATTTTAGCTCTTTATTTATCAATATGTTTAATGAGATATTACTATCCAAATACCTAACTAGTAGCCTTTTTTAAAGGGTGGAGAGGTAATTCAGTCTCCGCCATGAGACTGACTATATTTTCTAGTGTGAGTCCTGTGCAAAGCTTCAACCAAGCCCCTATTCTAACAGGCCACAGTCAATTTAAGGAGCACTTATGATGAAACTTCAAACAAAAATAAATTTTGAATAGATTTATTTCTTGACAAAGAATATTTGCTAAAATAGAGTCTGAAACCATTAATGAAAGATAACCACACAATTTGTTTCAGATATATTTGACTATGCATATGCACAGCAACTGCATTTCAGTTTTTAATTTTATGGTCAATTTTTGCTATTCTCTATTTTTTTCTTAATTAGACAAAAACTATAGAGATAGCAAGGAGAATCACCTTATTTTGTTTTCTACTTAAAAATCTTGCAAGCTAGTAGTCTTTGTAGCTTGCAAGCTAGTAGACAAGGATACAAAGCAAAGTCTGAAATTTTTAATGTCTATATGATACCTTTTGAAAGTACATGATTTTCATATTTTTTTGCTTATAGAAAAGGTAAAAAGCTTGATAATATAGGAAGCAGTTATAGTGAGCTGCATTCTTTTTGATGGCTTCTATTACTGAATAAATGATTGCATCTTGCTGATTTCGAAGCTACCCCTAGTGGAAGAAGCACAGATTCTGAAGCTGGAATAGTCTTGCATTCTTTATGGTGCTGGGAAGTGGGGAAGTGGTGTGTTGGGAGAACAGTGGGTAGGCCTTGGACAAGTTATTTACATAACCTGAGAAAAATGGCACAATTAGAAGTATCTTCCCTATAGGATGGGAGAAATTAAAGAAATTAAACATAATGCATCTGTAATAGATTCCAAGGTTGCTTTTCAAGTGATTTCTAGCAGCAAACCAGAGTCCCAGGGCCTGTGACCTGGATCTTACAGGAAATAATTTATTTGGCCTTCACAGTGTCCTTAATACACACACACACACACACACACACACACACACACACACACACACGATGCATCCAAAAAGACAGGTAGAATATAGGTTCCTTGTCCAGATCTCATTAACCCTACCACTTCCTACTATACGTAGATCCTCTTCACACAGTTATATTGCTTGCCTGGGCTCTAGAAGCATTTGTGTTTGCACCACTCTCCCTCAAATGTGAATGATGAGAAATATTCCTTTCTCATGAAACCTTTCTAAATTATAACTACATAGAAATTATAGAGCTGATAAGAATAGTTATATTTGAAAAGAATTTCTTGTGAAAGCAGAGCACACCTTAGCTATTGAAAGGAATTCCTAATTTGAACAAAAATATCCGGCATCAGATATATGACTGATATTTTAAATCTGACTCAACTTTTTGTCACCTACATCCAAAGACTATTTAGAATCAAAGTTTTATTTTTACACAGGTCATAAGAAATGGGTAGCTGGGGATACTGGGCTCTATCTGCGAGTGACACTGGATTAAACAAGTGTAAATAGAACAGGTGAGTCTTAAGTGAAAACAAAACAAAACACTGCTAATTCTGTGGGAGTAAGAGATGAAGAAATAGAAAATGAGAAAAAGTTCAAGAAATGGCCCTGGTGGTTCATTGCTCAAAAGTCCTAGCATTCCATAACAGTAATACAGAAGAGAGGTTACACTTCACCTACTTCATAAATTTGAGTGGTGGAAGGAGTGAAGATGAGAGATGCATTTGTGAACTGTTAATTCATATAAAGGCGGACATGCATGCTAAGTCGCTTCAGTCATGTCTTACTCTGTGTGACCCCATGGACCATAGCCTGCCAGGCTCCTCTGTCCATGGGATTCTCCAGGCAAGAATACTGGAGTGGGTTGCCATTTCCTTCTCCAATATAAAGGCATAGAGAGCAGAAAATCATTATCTAAGCAGTGGCAGATTGGTCTCTCACTTCATGGATCATCTATCTTACTCTGAGATAGTAGGCATTGTTTGCGGACATATTCTGATTTCATCCATGCCTTTCGATGTTTACACCAAACACTCATAAATATCCATTCTTTCAACAAAGAGCTTTTGAGTGCCTATTATATACTCAATAGTTGTATATGTGATTAAAATAGAGCAATGAACAAAACTAGACAAAACACAAAATCCCAGCTCTTATGAATATTTATGTACACTGGAGAGGGAGGCATATGACAAACAAGTAAATCAGTGAAGTATATGCTGCTGTCAGATGGCAGCAATTCTGTGAGGTTTTTAAGAAATGTAAGAAGGCGGGTGTATATTTATAAACACGAGGCTTGGAGAACTCTCCACTGAGAAGACATATGAGTAAAAAGGAGAAGGAAAGGAAAATGCAACAGAATAGATGTGGCTTAAGAGGCCACAAAACGGAACTGAACGGATTAAAGTGACAGAGTAGTAGATGAGCTCCAAGAGGTCAGATGCTGTAGTGGAGATGGTATGACTGTAGCCCACTGCAAGGGCCTTGCTTTTACTGCAAGTAGAATAGGTAGTGACTGAAGAGCTTCGAGGAGAAAGTGACTTGAGCTGACTCACTCGCTAAGAGGTTACTCCGGCTGCAGTGCTGAGTACAGACTATTATGATGCTCCAATGAGAGACGATTGCGCTGTGGGATAAGACAGAGCCATGAAGACTGGGGCAAGAGGTCATGTGACAGATACATTTTGGAGTTGGAAGTAATAAGATCTGTGGATGAGTCAAATATAGCGTGAGTAAAAGAGAGGTACCGAGGACAGTGCCTAGGTTTTTGGTCTGAACACCAACAGTAGTATTGCTGTCAGCTGAGATAAGTAAGGCGACAAGCAAGTCTGACTCCTTAGGGGGAATATCAATAAACCAGTCTTGAGGGTGTTAATTGTGAGACACCCATTAGAGATCTAGATTCAGGCATCTGGAAGTCAGGAGAGACGGATAAGCTGCAGATGTAAACTGGGAATCATAAGGCCACGGGTAGTTTTTGGAGCTATGAAACAGCATGAATTTACCTGGGGAGTTAAGGCTGGTGGAGGAGGGAAGGCATTCCCCGGTTGGGGATGAGACGCAGAGCCAGCAGGGAAGCCTGAGACGAGGCAGTCGGTGAAAATGCGGGAAAATCAGGAAGAGTGTGGCGTGCTGTTAGCAGGGTGAGAAAGCACATCGGGAATGAGACCAAGTGCTTCAAAGGGCTGAGAAGTGGCTCCTGGATTTAGCAACATGGAGGTCAGACTAGATAAGAACAGTTTGGATGGGACTGTGGAAGCAAAAGTGTGACAGATAGAAGGGGCTCAAAGGAGAATGGGAAGAAAAGAACTGGACACACAGAATCAACTTTAATAATAGCTAGTTAATGAAACACAAAAGATAAAACATTAAAAATATGATTTAAAAGAACATGGAAAATGGAAAATGTGAAAAGTCAAAGAAATTTCAGAAATGTAGATAACTTCTCTTTTTAATTAAGTAGAGTGATAAAGTGAAGATTCTAAACTTTGCACTTTAGTTGGTACAATGATTCGGCAATGTCACAAATAAGACATCTCCTTGTAACTTTCGACAAAGTACTCTTTTTCAAATAGATGATGTTATGTTTAAAAGAACTGAATATATAGAAAAAGAAAGGTTCCCACTGTCACACATGTACATTCACATTCATAGATACAAAACCAAAATAAGAGAGAAATTTTTAAAGTAATGTCTGTGGGTATTCCCATCTGCTAAGAGTATAGCAATTCATTATTCATATGCAAATCTAGAGTTATTTAAAATTAACAGCTTAAAACTTTTAAAAATTCATTAAAAAACTAGTTTTTATTACTTCTGAGACTTGATACCAACATTTTCTTTCTGTACATATTGAGAGGAGTGATGAAATAAACTATTTTTGCCTTAGTGAATAAGTTTCATAACTAACATAATGTATTCCAATTTATGATCTTTTGAGAAAATATGAAAGTATATGCCATTAGGGGAAATTATGGAAAAAACATCTCAGAGGCAGAATTTAGGGAGCAGAGGCTGAAGTGTTATGAATCACTTACTTCTCTAATGTCCCTTTGATACTTAGTGTTCATTTCTTCTGTTTTAATGAGGTCCTTTCTTGCTGTCTCAGCTTCCTGTTCCACCTCTCCCACTCGGGAAGAAAGGGCTGCTAAACGTTCTTTCATTTGGGCCATTTCATAGTTTTGTTTTTCAAGCAATTCTTGTAGTTCAACTATTTGACTTGTTTCATCAGTTGAGTCTATAGAACCATTGGACAATCGCTGTGGAAAAAGAGAAAGAAATGACACTTAGAATTGTCTACCTCTTTAGTTTGAAATCCATGAACTTAAAGATGTAAGACTGATAAAGATTTCATACTGAACAGTAAGAACTCTAATAGAACTAACTTTGGAGGAAAACTAAGCTTCTCAGAAAACTCTTAATTGACATTAAAATATAAAAGTAGACCAGTAATTTTCCAATAGGTTAAAAGATGCATTTGAACTGGAAGGTACTATGCATACACTATACACAGTTTAGCACAAAACACAGGTAAACCCTAAACATTCAGTAAGTGTCAGCTATTTTTAATCAATTACATATGACATTTACTATAAATAAATAATACTACATTTATGTAACACAGCATATCATTAGTAAGAAACTATGTAATATTTTCTATTTTTATTCAAGATCCTCTATGAATTTGCAAGTCATTTTCAATGACACTCAGTAAAAGAACTTACACAACATTTTTCTTCTAAATAAGGTTATTCCTATTGTGAATCTGACCTCGTTGGAACAAAGGTATAGCATAGAAAAGTCTTGCTTTCTATATTGCTATCTACATAAAAGTTATGAGTCTGCACAATCCACAGGAAAGAGGCTGAGTTTAAATAATTTGAGACTGATTTTTCCTCTTTTTGAAGGGGCTGCCTGGAAACCAGGGTGATCCACGTCTTCAGAAGGATGCCCTACAGCCAAGCTGCAGGAACTGGGGAGAAATAAGTGCTAACAGAAAAAGATCACAATCAAGTAGAAATAGGAAAGTGTGGACAGAAAGCAAAGAAAGTGCTATCAATTCTTCTAGAACTCCTGTTTGGGAAATGTGAATTTGTTCTAGCGTGATAAATACATCAAGGAACAATTTGAACGTAATGTAATTTGTGTTTTCTTATGTACAATCTCATTTTTGAGAATCACTGGCTGGATGCAGAAAAACAGACTTTGCTGAATCAATCAGTGTTGAAATATATTAATCAAAATGCCACACATGCTCATTCCTCAAGCATCGAACACCAACCTCACACTTCATTGAGCAGTTCTGGTTAACCCATCCATATCTGTTACACCTGTCTGATTTTACTTACCCCTCCCTTCACCACATCACAACAGTTCACATTTATACCCCTTCGGACATCCATTTTAATAAGCAAAGTTCACATTTTTTTCAAAGTAAAGAGTTAAATTTATCATAGCAGTTAGGGAATTCTTAACCATTTAACATGGGTAAAACTGTGCGTCCAGTTTTACTAGTTTCCTATTTCTTTTTGAAGTCACTGAGCTGTGTGGCAAACCCCTTCCCCCACGAGCTCTGTGTTTTTTATTTTGCGATTTTGCATAACTCATGACACTGTGGAATCAAATGTCACATTAGACAAAAGGTGGTGCTAGTGGTAAAGAATCTGCCTGCCAATGCAGGAGACAAAAGAGACTCAGGTTCGATCCCTGGGTTGAGAAGATTCCCTGGAGGAAGGCATGGCAATCCACTGCAGTATTCTTGCCTGGAGAATCCCATGGACAAAGGAGCCTGGTGGGCTACAGTTCAAAGGGTGGCAAAGAGTCAGATAGAACTGATGTGATTTAGCACGTGCGCAGATAGGAGAAAAGGAGGACTATCAACTGCATCACAAAAGATAAGTGAGAAAGATAAAACAGAGAGAATGGGAAAACAAACAAATGGCAAGGCATGTTGATAAGTCCAGTTACCTAACATGTGGAGAAACAGCCGGACACATCAAAATTAAAAGGGCAGAGAAAGATGGTCTTAGACAGCACCTTAAGATACCAGCTGGATCTGCAGTTAGTACTTGGAACATATTACTTAATTTCTGTATTGCAGGTGTCAAACTTCTAATTACGTAATAAAATGGGTAAGAGATGTTACAATTAGGTAGGGATTTTGAAGAGGAACCACAGATCAGTCTACCAGATGCTCCTTCAGTCTTGATTCCCTTGGTGGCTGGGACTGCTGCTCACTGAGGGATCAGAGCTGAGAACATGCCTAGGAATTGCTCTTGGTGCAAAGGAGCTGCCTTTCCAAAGTTAAACGTCCTTGCTGGGGTATGCATTACCGCATACAACGCAGACCAGTATTTTGTTTGTGCTCAGTCATGCAGTTGTGGCCAACTCTGTTTGTGATATTATGGACTGTAGCCCGCCAGGCTCCTCTGTCCATGGGATTTTTTTCCAGGCAAGAATACTGGAGACGGATGCCATTTCCTACTCCAGGGGATCTTCTTGACCCAGGTTGATCCTCAACCTGTATCGCTTGTGTCTCCTGTACTGGCAGGTGAATTCTTCACTGCATAGACCAGTAATATTGTGAAGCTGATAAAAATCCAACATTCTAGACAGTTTTTAAGAACACAANTCCATGGGATCTTCTTGACCCAGGTTGATCCTCAACCTGTATCGCTTGTGTCTCCTGTACTGGCAGGTGAATTCTTCACTGCATAGACCAGTAATATTGTGAAGCTGATAAAAATCCAACATTCTAGACAGTTTTTAAGAACACAAAACTGAAAACCACTGATTGTGACCTTTATATATAACATTCATGGGCAAGTCTGGATCAGTCTCTTCTGGGGTCACAGCCGTGAGTGTCCAGGAGTCTTCAGCAGAGGTGTGGGTCAGCGGCGGTCTGCTGCAGAGTTGGGGGCACTCAGCGCAGCATACTAAAAGCAGAAACATTACTTTGCCAACAAAGGTCCGTCTAGTCAAAGCCATGGTTTTTCCAGTAGTCATGTATGGATGTGAGAGTTGGATTATAAAGAAACCCGAGTGCCAAAGAACTGATGCTTTAGAACTGTGGTGTTGGAGAAGACCCTTGAGAATCCCTGGGACTGCAAGGAGATCCAGTCAGNCTAAAGGAGATCAGTCCTGGGTGTTCATTGGAAGGACTGATGTTGAAGCTGAAACTCCAATACTTTGGCCACCTGATGCAAAGAACTGGCCCTGATGCTGGGAAAGATTGAAGGCGGGAGGAAAAGGGGATGACAGAGGATGAGATGGTTGGATGGCATCACTGGCTCAACAGACATGAGTTTGAGTAAGCTCTGGGAGTTGGTGATGAACAGGGAAGCCCTGCATGCTGCAGTCCATGGGGTCACAAAATGTCAGACACAACTGAGCTACTGAACTGAACTGGTCTGAAATATGACATAATTATCCATACATTGAACTGGGAAAAGCCAAGTTACATTCATCAGACAGCAATTGAGAACTGATTTAGGAAGAAAGGCTAGAGCCAACTGCCAGTCAGTTGTGTCCAAATCTGGGATTACTGAGGTGTGATATTACTGGGTTTCTATAATAACAGCAAATTTTTTTGAACTTTATATACCACCTATAAGTAAGGAGGAAACCTTAAGCTTTAACAGAATTTCTACCTCTTCACATTGAGAATTTTCTCTAGTCAACCAGAAAAAAGGAAAGTTTTAGAAACTATGAAAATTAGAAAATAAATATTTTGCTTTGAAAAATGTTTTATGTTATTGAAATATTACATTCAAGATTAAAGTCCTTAAGAACTTTGGAGAAACTGAGACTTAGGGAATTACACAAAGCTGACTTGAATTAAAATGCAGAACTTTGAATTCACGGTTCATCTATACTTTATTATTTTTAGTTAGGACATATAAGTCTAAAGGATAAATAACACATGTTGGATGGTATTGACAAGTACCAAGAATACAGTTGTGTGTGTGTATATAGCTATATGAACATATGTAAAAACAGCACACACATGTACACAACCACACAAATATGTATATAAATTCTACAAATATTTGTTCAGTGCAACTGATTGATCTTAATTTTCTAATTAGAAAAATGATTATTCCAATTTTGTGCACCTGAAGTCCATTAAAATCTTAACTAAAAATTGCATAGTTTTAATGGGCTTGAGGTAAGAGAAATTTAAGTAAATATAAACAGTAATCAGACAACAAAAATAAAACAGCTTCATAATGTTAACCTCATCAATTCCTTTAAGTTTCATTAAGTAGCAGATGTGTATTACAAAGTCTTTATGCTACTTTGGAATTTTGGACTATCCATGGAAATTTTTTGAACTCTCATTTTTATCTTCTGAAGTACATGAAAGTGAAAGTTGCACAGTCATGCCCAACTCTTTGTGAACACAAAGAGTAGTTTTTGCCAGGCTCCTCTGTCCACGGAATTCTCCAGGCAAGAATACAAGAATACTAGAGCATTATATGTTTAAAAAATATATATATTTCATCTATTCAAATCATCTTATATATATTCTGTGCTAAGTTTAATATATGCTTTTATAATTTCAGAGTAGAAAGATCATTTTAAACCTGTGATTTATGTCTTGAAAAAAGAATATATAGCTTTTATTCCAAATTGTTATTCTCTTGATCTGATACCCTTGCAAATATTTGCTTTTATTCCAAGAGATCATTGTTCTTCTCATTTTACTTTAAATTTTCAAATTTGGATTTGCCTCCAAATCCAAACTAAGATTGCATTTTCACTAGAATAATGAAAGCTATAGCTTCCAGGTTTACATATACCCCCTTCCCTCCTGGCCTTCCATTCCACAACCACCTCCCCTCCCCTCCCAACCATCCAGTCACCCCACAGCACAGTGCTGATCCCCCAGTGCTATGCTGGGGGTCCCCACTAGCTATTTATTTACACATGGCAGTGCATATACGTCAATCCCATCTCCTAGTTTATCCCTCATCTTATCCCTAGCCTAGCATCCACAAATCCAGTCTCTTTATCAGTATCTCTATTCCTGCCCTGAAAATATGTACATCTGTACCAGTTTTCTAGATTCTACATACATGTTAATATACAACACCTGTTTTTCTCTTTCTGACTGACTTTACTCTATACGACAGACTCTAAGTCCATAACAACCTATTGGATACAGAAAAGGAAATTGAAGCACAGAGTGTAAATATTTCCCTTAGGGTCAAGTTACTGAAAAGTCATAAGATTACGATTTGAATGAAGGCATTCAAGT